CATCCACATGGAAATGTTGAATAGGATGTTTGGATGTAAGACTGGTATTCAGGGTGGAGTTTGGATCTTGTGAGTGGTAAAAGCCATGGGAGAAGATGAGATCATCCAGGGATACAAAAGAAGATAGAAGGAACTGAAAGATGAGGTATTGCAACATTTAGAGGGTATTAAGAGAAGAAAAATCCAGCCAAAGAGATTGAGAAGAAACAATGAGAGGAAACACAGGGACTGAGGTCATAGAAGTTAATGGAAGAAAATGGTTCAAGAAAGAGAAGAGATGTAATATGCTGTTATGAATATTCTTATACACTTTTCCTGGTGTATATAAGCAAAATTTTTGTAACATATATACCCCTACGTTAAAGGGTAGAATTGTTGGAAAATAGGGTATGAAATATTCAGTCTCAAGATAGTACAAATTGTTGTCCAAAGAGATCAAACTAGTGTATACTTTTTTAGCCAGATATGAGATTTTGCATTAACACACATCTTTAAAATTTGACTTTATCATTTTTACCGTTCAACTGGATGTGGATGTAAAGTATTATCTCAACAAAGTCTTAATTTATAATTCCCTGATTATTAATGAGTTCAGACACCTTTTTGTATTTATTGACCATTTATGTTTCCTATTCTGTGAAATATTTGACCATTTTTTTCTGGGGTGATTTTTTTTTTATTGTTATTTGTAGGAACTCCGTGTATGTTCTGTATATCCATTTTTTGGATATATCTTCTCTCAGTTTATGGCTTATTATTTTACACTGTTTTGATGAGCAGAGGTTCTTGATTTTAATATAATTTAAAATGTCTTTTTTGTTGTTAATGCTTTTTGTTTCTTCAGAATGTTTTCCCTTACCTGCCCCAAAGGGAGAAAAATACTTTCATCTCCTTTCCTTTTGAAAGTATTAAAGGTTAACATTTCATATCTTAATCACCTTGAATTGATTTTTGTGTCATATGAAGGACCCAGTTTCATTACTTTTAATATAAATATTTAGCTGTCTTAGTCCCTTTATTGAATAGTTTCTTTTTTCCCCAGTGATACATATTGTTACTTTTGTCTTATAGGAAAATGATATATTATGGTTTTGTTTTAGATTCTCTGTACTGTTGCATCAGATAATCACGTATTACATGCCCTTATCACATATCTTAATTACCGTAGCTTTATAAAAAGTCTTGCTTTTGGGAGGGCAACTTACTCTTCAGGGGTATCATAACTATTGTTGGTCTTCGATCTTCTGTATATGTTTTAAAATCAAATTCCATTAAAAAAAAGTATTGTTTTTTTAATTGGAATTGCATTGAAACTATAAATCAGATTGGGGAAAATAGATGTCTTTATAATACTGTGTATTCCCATGTACAAGATCTATTTCTAAATTCATTTCATTATCTAATAAAATTTTATAATATTTTGCGATTAGATCTTGCACATTTTTGTTAGATTTCTTGCTAGGTATTTTGTAGATGTTGTATCCTTTAGTCTAAAATATATCTCTGTTGCTGGTAATTAGAAATACAGGCACCATTTGTACATTTATAATAAACCAGCGAGCTAATCATTTTACTGATTTGGGTTCTCTTAAATGAACATCTGTAAATAACAACATTGTGCTTTCTTTTAGAACCTTTTGCTTTCAGTTTGTTTTCTTTTGCAATGGCTAAGACCTCAGGAAGGGTGTCCAAATAGAAGGAGTGATCATGGGATTCCTTTTCCTTATTTTTAAAGGGAACATTTTTAATATTTCCCTTAAATCCTAGCTGTTAAAATTGAAAGTTTTTAATTTATTTTTTTGTTGTTGATGTCAAACTTAATTGGATAACTTAAAGGGAAAGGAGGAATGCCAGGACGGAGGATACAGGAAAAAGGTGACATTGGGGGAATAGGAAGATATATTTGAAACTGACAGTAGGATAGAACATAGTGAGTTAAAGAGCATTGTGTAAAAATGTTGACAGTAGGAAATCCACATGTGAAATATGAGATGGTCAAGGGCAGAGGTATAGATGTGATAATCATCATACATAATGAAGTTAGTACTTAGATACACTACTGTGGATTAGATTGCTTAAGGAAATAGTGTAATAGGTACCATGGTCAAGGATAGAAACCAAAAACACATTATCTCTTGGAAGGTGGAAGGGAGTTGAAAGGAAATTTAAGAGATAGGATAGCCAATAATGTATAGTTTTAAAGCCAAGAGTAGAGCATTTCAGGAGGGGATTGTTAGTAATGCCAAATGAAATGCCACAGAGAGGTGTAGGAAGATCGGGATTGAAAAGAGGACATTGAATTTGGCATTTGATATTTTTTTTAAAAAAAAAAACAGTTTCAGTAGAGTGAGGGAAACAGAAACCAATTTTTAGTGAAAGTTAGTAGATGGTCCTGAATTGGTGAAGGGGACTTTAAAATGTTTGTTAAATTTTGCAATGAAGGAAAAGGCAAATGGTGGTGGGTGGTTAGATTGAAAGGGGAAATCCTTTAAGGTAGGGAAAAAATCATGCATTTTTAAGTTACTACCTAATAACCAATACTAGTTATTAAAGTTTTTAAATTTTGCCAATCTAATAAGTGAAAAATCATTTGTTTTGCTGTACATTCAATTATGAATGAAACAGAGTCTCCATAAAATTCACATTGTTTTTCTTTTGTTAGAAACTTTAACTAATGCAGTTAGTCTTTTGTCATAAATGTTTAAAATACAGTTTTATGTTAATAGTCTTCAGCTTTATTGAACTTTTTAAAATAACTCTATTATCGGCCTAAACAATATAGGGATGTATTTTTTTAATTATATCTGAAGTTGTCCAGACTCCCTCTGGTTTTTTCAGCCGTACGTAGTTCTACTTCACTGGCTTGCTGGAGCTCTGGCCATTTGCTCCAAGTTCTAAGCAGGGCTATGGAATGTAGAGGTTTTACAGTATGAATCACTCCCCCCCTTTCAGAAGCTTTTCTGAAAGCCCCACTGAATATATTCTACCTTTATCTTACTAGTCAAGTGTGTTTTTTGGCCACCTCTAACTGCAAGGGAGACTAAGAAATGTAATTGCAGCATCAAACAAAATTGTGATTCAGCTAGTGAGAAAGTAGATCATCCTTGTTGTTGGATATGGCAGGATCCTTTTCTCGTTTTAAAGCTGAATACTGTCCAATTGTGGAACATAATGAGGTCTGTCCTGAAGGTACCCAGCCATGCAATAAGAAAAATAGGGACATTTATTGAAGAAGATGCAAGATACAAGAAATGTTACACATGGGACAGTGACACCTCAGTCCTCTTTAAAGTAGGCACCTTGGGATTTCACACAGTTCTCCCAGTTGCCATGCCATCAACTCCCCTGTCATATTTTCCTGAATCTCATCTGTGTTCTGAAATCTCTTCCATTTCAAGGGTGATTTTAGTTTTGGGAAAAGACAGAAGTTACAGTGCACCAAATCTGGGCTGTAGGTGGGCTGAGTTACCTGGGTGATTGGATATTTCACCAAAAAACTGCAAGAGATGTGATGCATGAGCTGGTGCTGTTGTCATGATGAAGCTACCAATCACCAGTTGCCCATAGCTGCGGCCTTCTGAATCATCCAAATAGTTTCCGCAGAGGAATGTTCAAGCTTAATGTTTTCAACTCTTTTGGGTATACCCATAGAAGTGGAAGTATATGGTAATTCTGTGTTTAATTTTTTGAGGAACCACCATACTCTTTTTTACAGTGACTGCAGTATTTCACATTGCCATCAGCAGTGATGCGCAGGGGTTCCAATTTCTCTACATCCTCACCAGTACTTATTTTCTGTCCCTTCTCCCCCCATGTGTTTTAATAATGGCCAATCTAATGGCTATGAAGTGGTAATACTGTGGGTTTGTTTTTCATTTCTTTAATGATTAGTGACGTTAGGCATCTTTTCATGTGTTTCTTAGTCATTGTGTATCCTCTTTCGAAAAATGTCTACTCAAATCCTTCGCCTGTTTCTAATCACGTTTGTTTTTTGCCATTGTTGAGTTGTAGAGGTTCTTTATATATAATGGATATTAACCCCTTGTAAGATATATGAGTTTCAGATATTATCTTCTATTCCATGGTCTGCCTTTCCTTCCTCTTTACACAGAGGTTAGTAAGTCTGAGGTAGCCCCATTTGTTTGTTTTTGCTTTTATTGCCTGTGCTTTTGATGTTGTCCAAGAAATCATTGCCAAATCCAATGTCATAAAGCTTCTCCTTATGGTTTCTTCTAAAATTTTTATAAGTTTAGGTCTTTCATCCATTTTGAGTTAATTTATATATATGATTTAAGGTAAAGGTTCAAACTTCGTTCTTTTGCATGTTAGTATCCAGTTTTCCCAACGTCATTTGTTGAAAAGCGCTCCCTTTCCTCTTTAAATGGTTTTGGAACCCTTATCAAAAATCTTGGAACTGTGTATGTGAGAATTTAACATTTCTATTCTGTCAGTTGTTTTGTCTGTCTTTATGCTAGTACCTTGCTGTTTTGATTACTGTATTTTTTCTAGTAAAACTCAAGTTGTTTATTTTTTATATGGAAGACTACTTTAAATATTATTTCGTAAAGTATCTTATTAAATTCTCTTACAGTTTTTCAATTAATTGTACAAAGATATAATTATTTTTCTTGCAGAAAGGATTCTACTTTATCCTCTCAAATTTTATTTTTTGTCTAATTGTGTTGGCTTTAAAACAACATTAAATATACTGGCCACATATTGTATTTGTTTTTCTTGTTTCTGATTTAATGGAAATTTTTCTAATATTTCATCATAGAGTATGATATCAATTTTACTTTGAGACACACTCGTAAGCTTTTGAAGTTGACATCAAAAGCTTAATTGTGGTTAGACACTTACTTGAAACTTGTTTCTTGTTGCCATTAACAGAAATAAGTTGTTGGTCTGAAGTTACTGTAAAATGATTGCCCAGTTTGGGGGTTTATATGTATCATGTAGAGTCAAGGGACCATAACTAATTGGCTTTTTAATTTTTTCAGAATGGTCAAAGTTTTCTAGTGTTGGATGAACAAAGATTTGCAAAAGAAATTCTTCCCAAATACTTCAAGCACAATAACATGGCAAGCTTTGTGAGGCAACTGAATATGTGTAAGTATGGATAGCAATTTATTTGGACTAGTGTCGTCAGCCACTGATTAAACCATCCCCCCACTCAATTAGGGTGATAAAGAGGAAAATATATTGCATAGCAGTATCATTCATTTTTGAATTTCCTCTGTTTTAGTCATGTGAATTTTGAATGTTTTTCAGATGGTTTCCGTAAAGTAGTGCATATTGACTCTGGAATTGTAAAACAGGAACGAGATGGTCCTGTTGAATTTCAGCATCCTTACTTCAAACAAGGCCAGGATGACTTGTTGGAGAACATTAAAAGGAAGGTGAGCTGTTGTTAACATGATTTAATTAGGGCATTGCCATGTAGCATAGTAGGCCAAGACATATTTCAGCTGTTGAAATTAAGAATGTATAAAAATACACTAGTGCTGTTTGTTAGGATGCCTTAGACCAGTAAAGTTTTAATTATTTCGTTCTGTTTTTCTTTCCTGGTGCTGAACTATACTAAGGGCCCAGACACCTTTACAGGGAACGAAAATGTTTACTTTCTGACAAGGTAGAGGAGTCATTCACATTAGGAAACTCCTTTTATTAGCTTAAAAAATGTAAGCTCCTGCTAGAATATAAGTTTCCTGGAGGGATTATTATATAGTTTATTGCCAAATATCAAAGGCCCAGAATAGGTCCCTTGCATATAGTAGACATGTAACTTAACCTTTTTTTTTTTGCTGAAAATAAGATATTTTTACCAAATCTACAAAAGGAAGCGGGGTGGGGTAAAAGAGTAGTGGACCATGAAAGAAAATGGCCTAGCATGAAGCTATTACTGCATAAATTTAATTAAACATGGAATGTGATAATAAAGAGAGGCTTGGGAAAATTACAGGGAGTTTGACAGAAGGAAATGAAAAATTAAAAAAGCCCCTTAGGTGTTTCTGCCTGTGGAAATTTCCCACATTTAAAAAAAAAAAAAGACTAATTATTTATCCTCTTTCTTTGAGCTGTGAAGTTTATTCTTTTCCCAGAATCCTATCCTGGGTTTTTTGGAACTACATCTCACTTCCTGAACAGACTATAAAAACCTCTTATAATAAGGAAGCTTTGAATTATAATCATGGCATTTAGTATTTGTTTGATATCCTAAATTTGCTTTTTGAAAGGTTTCATCTTCAAAACCAGAAGAAAATAAAATTCGTCAGGAAGATTTAACAAAAATTATAAGTAGTGCTCAGAAGGTTCAAATAAAACAAGAAACTATCGAGTCCAGGCTTTCTGAATTAAAAAGGTAAAGTATTATTTTCAGATATAATTCTAATATGTAGGTGGGTGGGTGGGTGCGGGGTGGGTGTGTGTGTTAGAGGTTGGTCCTTTACTTTTAGGTCATGTTGAATCCAAGATCAAAGACCATTTTTCAGTAAATATTGGTTCCCTTTGTTTTTGATTTGTGGCTGTAGTCTTTACCCCAATATTGTATTTTCAGGATGGTGGTCAAAAGAATATAAAAACCTGGGCATTCAAAACAATGTGATGCAAAAGCCTTACTCATGAAACAGTAGATCTTTTATTTTGTTGTTGTTTTTTTAAAATTTGATCTTTATTGTATTTTTTCCCATTATCATTTAGTCCCCTTATATCCCCCTCCCCCCAGCAGTCACCATACTGTTGTCCATGTCCATGAATCCTTTTATCTTTTTGCTCAATCTCTCCATCCTCTCACCTCCCTCCTCCAGCTGTCTTCCTATTCTCTATCTATGAGTCTGTCCCCATTTTCCTTGTTTGTTCTGTTTGTTCATTAGGTTACACATATGAATGAAATCATATGGTATTTGTCTTTCTCTGTCTGGCTTATTTCACTTAGTATAGTGTTCTCCAAGGCCATCCATACTGTTGCAAGGGTAAAATTTTCTTCTTTTTATGGCCACGTAGAATTTCATCGTATTCATGCCCCATAGTTGTTTTATCCAGTAATCTACTGATGGACATTTGGGCTGCTTCCATATCTTAGTGATTGTACGTAACACTGCAGTGAACATAGGGATGCTTATCTTCTTTCGAATTAGTATTTTAAGTTCATTTGGATATAGTCCCAGAAGTGAGATCTCTGGATCAAAAAGCAGATCCATTTTTAATTTTTTGAGGTATCTACATACTGCTTTCCACAATGGCTGTACCAATCTGCATTTCCAGCAAGAATGCAAAAGTATTTCCCTTTCTCCACGTCCTCACCAGCACCAGCTGTTTGTTGAGTTATTGATGATAGGCATGATGACAGGTTTGAGATGGTATCTCATTGTGGTTTTTATTTGCATTTCTCTGATGATTAGTGACGTTGAGCATCTTTTCATGTGTCTGTTGGCCATCTGTATGTCTTCTTTGGAGAAGTGCCTATTCAGGTCGTTTGCCCATATTTTAATTGGGTTGTTTTTTTTGTGTTGAGTTTTGTTCTTTATAAATTTTGTATACTAACCCCTTATTAGATGTATTGGTGAATATGTTCTCTCATTCTGTAGTTGTCTTTTTATTTTGCTGATGGTTTCCTTTGCTGTGCAAAAACTTTTTAGTGCAGTACCTAATAAGCCCAACCAAGGATGTAAAAGACTTGTACTCAGAGAATTATAAGACACTGAAGAAAGAAATAGAAGAAGATACAAATTTCGTGGAAGCACATACCATGTTCATGGATAGGACGAATTAACATCATTAAAATGTCCATCCTACCCAAAGCAATCTGTAGGGTCAACGCAATTCCTATCAAGGTTCCAGTGACGTATTTCACAGAACTAGAACAAATATATGGAACCACAAAAGGCCTCACATAGCAACAGTGATCCTTTTAAAGAAGAACAAAGTTGGAGGAATCATGCTGCCTAATATCAAATTATACTATAAGGCCATAATAATCAAAACAGCATGGTACTGGCATAAAAACAGACACATAGATCAGTGGAATAGGGAGTCCAGAAATAAATGTGCACATTTATAGTCAGTTAATACTCTACAGAGGAAGCAAGAACATACAGTGGGCTAAAGATACTTTATTCAATAGATGCTGTTGGGAAAACAGGACAGATAATGTGCAGAAAAATGAAACTAAACAGCTTTCTTACATGGCACACAAGAATAAATTCAAAATGGATCAAAGACTTAAATGTTAGGCCTGAAACTATAAATATTGTAGAAGAAAGAATAGGCAGCAAAATCTTGGACATTCCTTTTAGTAATATTCTATAGCATATATCTCCCCAGACAAGGAAAATGAGAAAAAAATAAACAAATGGGAAACAGTAGATCTTTAGATTGGTGCAGGAAATGTGATTCTACATAGGTTAGCTTTTATATGATTAGACACATATGAGGGCATACAAAGCCATAAAAGTACTTCCTACATGTGTTATCCACTGTTTTATGATGGTTTTTAAGACTTTTCTATGTGACCTATCTCTTAGGAAAAAGTAGGACATAAAAAAATAGGGAAAAAAGGACACAGGAGACTTGCTCTGCTTGATACCTATTTTACATACACTGGAGAAAGTATTATTCAAACCTTTTATCTACAGAAAGATGCTTTGATGTGTAACTACAGCTCTTAGCACCATTATCCTAACTGGCTCCACAGTAATAGCTTGTATATAGAGTAGATGTGTACTTGTTTTTTAGTAAGTAGTTGAGATTTTGCTCATCCTAATAGATGCCCAGGTCTTGAGAGTAGTTATTTTGTGTATTCTCTATCCCATTTCAAATATGGGACATTAGTTTGACTATTCTTAAGTATTTTTTTTTAAAGAGTAATACTGGATTTTTATTTCCCTGACTAGGCCTTAATTTTAATTTTCCCCATTTTGCATATTTTATTGAATTTCTTATGCTGGTTTATTGTATCTGTCTTGTGTCTACTGAGGTGCCCTTTGACCCAATTCCTTGAATCTCAGGTTTAGTCTTTAAGGAATGGGATCCCAAATTTATCCTTTAAGTCTTAAGGATAACCGTTCTCCTACTTCCCTTTAGTGGGAAGATGACAGTATCTTTAAATTTATGAGTCAGAAAAAAATACAGTATTTTTCCAGTAAGTATTAAAGAAAGTCTCATTTTCAGTACCCTCTATTTTTGGATTTGTCATATATGAAAATGCTTTTAAAAACATTCTCTAGTGTTTTCCTATGCTTGTGTATGAGACAGGTCTTAAGATACACAGTTTTGAGTCTGGCAGACTTTATCTCTACTTTAATACTTAGCAAATTATCTGTGTGATCTTGGGCAACTCTCCTCAATTCTCTGAGCCTGAGTCCTCATGTATAAAATAGAAAATAATTTCCTTCTTGTTGGATTTGAGAGAAGTTTAAATTACCAATATATATAAAATGCTTAGAATAAGTACTTTGAGCATAGCAAGTGCTAGGTTAATGTCATTTCTCTTTAAGAATTGTTTCCTAAGCACAAGTACTAAATTCACTTGGTAGCCATAGTTTTAGGTTTAGCGTAAATAAGAAATAATGAACCAGATTGTCAAAGGGATAAATTGCCTACTACTGTATGGATGTAGGCATGAGTTTCTGTGTATATACTGCCATGAGCAGAAGCTGACTACAGTTACGAAGGAATGATTCTGGATTTACATCAGGATAATTGCCATTTATATAATTGAGCCATAGATTTTCTAGCCTTATAAAAATATATAATAAAAACTAGTTAAATTCTCTTGTATTTAAAAAAATATTTATTTTTAATTTAAAATTTTTTTTTATTCACATGCCCTCCCCTTTGGCAACCATCAGCTTGTTCTCTATATCTGTGGTGTTCTCTGGTTTGCTTAAAGATATTGAGGCCTGGCTTCCTGACTGAATTTTGTTCTGTTTTTTAATAAATGATATAGTGAGAATGAGTCCCTTTGGAAGGAGGTGTCAGAATTACGAGCAAAACACGCACAGCAGCAACAAGTTATTCGAAAGGTGAGCTTTTTCCCCATGACCGTAATTGTGCTTGTTTGAATACCGTTTGTGATCTAAAGTCTCTATTGAGAAGCCTGACTGATTTTAGTTTCTTACATATTGGGTGTACAGGTAAAAGTAAAACAATGAAATCAAACAAATTAGGACAAGTGTTATATATTCTTTTTAATAAAAAAGCTTCTCATTAGCTAAATATGATGATTCTGTACTCCCAGTTAATAAGTCTTTAAGGACCTTTTGCCTAATAGAACAACTTTTAAGATACTGTATTCTTAGAAGCATACTTAATATATTCCCAAATTCTTACATAATTTTTCCTCAAAAGACAAAGCCTTACTGTGTGGGGGTTTTTTTTTGTTTATTTGTTTTGTTGTTTTTACTATTTTTTTACTCTGAAAGGCGTACACACAGATTCAGAAGGTAAGTGAAGAATATTGTCAAATTGGTTGAGCAGATTATGAGTTTAAAAAATGAGCTATCAATATATGTCATTAATCTGCAGAAAAGTAGTTAACATAGTATTGTAAAATAAATCTTAGATTTTAGTATCTGAGCTGAAGATTACTGGGGCAACTAAGAATCTATCTTGCAGTGTATCCTGGTGATTTAATTTGTTCACATCAGCTTTCATATGTTAATAAGAGATGAAACATAAAAGTAATTAAGGTAGCTATTTTTTGCTCATGAGAAAACTGGACTCTAAGTTTAAGCAACAGTTCCCTTTGTTGGGGGAGGATGGGAAGGCTTCAGCTTGTTCATACTAAAAATAGGGCTATGACTGGCAGGATTTGAATCTAGTGGAACAGATTAAAACAGATGAATGGTAGGTGCAGCCTTTGGTTTATAGTCAAATTAAAAAAAAATTTAGTATGCAAGTGTAAAGGTTGATTGTACATTTTAATTCTAAGTCCAGGTATATATATATTTTCAAAACTACCATAGCTAATTTCAACATGCAGTTCTGTTAAGAATACCTGATTTAAAATGACAATGTATGTTAATTAACCTATACTTTATTTTAAAAATCTGTTTCTTTTCCAGAAAACAGTATTTTGGTTAAATATTAACTTATAATACTCCATAATTTGTTGGGGGTCTTTCCTAATGACAAGAATAGTTTGTAAAATAGTTGTATAACATTTAAGTTTTTCAAGAAAGCTAACATTGTTTGCTCAGATTTGAGTTATGTCTCTGTGTTTTGGTAGGGGTTAGGGAGTTTTATATAATGCATGACGACAGCCAGTAATTTTTTCTCTATTCATGGAATTGATTTTTAACTCTGCCATTTATTTTTTGGCCTTGGATTAGTTGGAAATAATTATGTGAGGTACCTGTTATAGGATTATCAGGTACAGAAGTTAGATGTGGTACATGTGAGATGCCTCATCTTTTTCAGGTTGTAAATTCTGTATGGTGTGATGAAGTGTAAAAAGAGAACTGAGATGTAGAACATTTCAGGAGAAATGTAGCCAGTGATTCATGTTCTTATAAATTTAATTACTAATGCTTTTATAATTTTCTGATAACACCTTTTTATAAATTAACAAAAAATAAATTGAAGTTGAATTTTTGAAAGATATCTTTAAGTGTAAATGTTTTTTGGTCAGCTTTCAGCATTTCTTTCAAATAAACAATGTAGTGTCTAACCTTTTCATACACTGTAATGTTTTCTGACTTTTAATTAAAATGTTTGTAGTTTGAAGGAATTAAGAAAAAAAGAAAATAAGAAAAAAAAACCCTCATAGACAACTGTATGGTGGTTACCAGAGGGAAAGGAGGTTGGGGATAGATAGGAGAGGGGGTAAATAATGATGGAAGGAATTGATCTGGGGTGGTGAACACACAATTTAATATACAGATGATGTATTAGAGAACTATACTGCTGAAACCTATGTAATTTTATTAACCAGTGTCACCCCAATAAATTCAATAAATTTAAAATATAAAAAAAAAATTATTTTTTCCATGGAAAATTTCATATTGATTGTAAGGTAGACTATTTAGTAGCCTCTTTTGGGGGAGAACACACAATATTAAAGCTATACAATATGTATTTTTAATCAACAATTCTTTATTTTAATTATGTAATTACATTTTACAAACCTTGCAAGGAGCTTTTCTGCAGTCTACATTGTCCTCCAAACCCTTTTTTCCTTCATTCATAGCCTCTCAGTGATATACTGTTTTTCATAGTTCATCATGTGATAGCCGTGCTTTTAACTCCTTCAGAAAGTTAACAGTATAATTTGAAGGCATGCCATACCATGTATGTCTCTCATATTCACATTAGTACCACCTGGACAGATTGCTAAACACACAACACTGCTGGACCCTAGCCTCAGAATTCCAGATTTAGCAGTCTGGAGTGGGGCTGAGAGTCTACATATCTAACAAGTTTCTAGGCCAATGCTGCTGCTCCATACTTTAAGAAATACTGTCATAAAATATGGAGGACTGTGGCATGTCGTCATCTGTTTAATAGTTTTCCTCTAAATTTAATCAGACTTAGAAGATTAAACTAACTTCTTTTGGTTGTCAGAAGGAAGCCTTAACAGATGTTTAGTGTTTCAGCAGTAATTTTTATACAGTTAGTCAGTTAATTGTTTCTAACTTGAAAGTTTTATGATATTTTATTTTGAGAGAGTTGGCATTTTTAAATTTATTTTTTATTTTTTTTACTTCTATTATAATACTTGGTGTAAGAGAAATGTTGCCTATGAAACACCATGGTTTGTTTTTGCATCGTAATGTTGTTGAAAGAACTGTAAAATTTGGGATCTGTATTCAGGCTTACTTTATAGATATCGCCAAAATAAATAACTGAATTGAATGTTGGATAGGTGGGTGGGTGGATGGATGGATTTTTCCGGCATCTCTTAATTCTAGGTAGTAGCAACTTTATCACAGGTTATTCTTTTGCCTGGAAGCTGATATATTTCTTTAGATGCCATTTTAAGATGCATATAAATTTCAAATATATTATTATTTGAGAAATTATGTGACTTAGAATAGAGGACATAGAATATTTGAATTTTTTAAAGCCTTGTAATATAGATTAAAGAACTAGGAATCGATAATGGAAAAATTTTATTTGTATTTTCCCTTTTAGATTGTCCAGTTTATTGTTACATTGGTTCAGAATAACCAACTCGTGAGCTTAAAACGTAAAAGGTGAGCTTTCATGTTAAAACATTTTGACCTATTATACATGGACAATCAAAAATTTTAGTCTTTAACCAACCATGTATGGCCTACATTGGATGAACAGTTCTCCCTTGATAATTACTCACAACATTTCTAGAGTGCATTATTTTTCCCTAGTTCTGTCAGCCTGCTGATATTTTTGAGAGATAAGGAGAGCCGAAATGGTCACTTTACAGGCACATACAGTTAAATAACGAATCTGTATTTCAATTCACGTTAATAAGTTTAATGGTAGCATTAGAAAACCTGAGGGAAGTTTCTAAAAAGAGGCCATGGCTTTAAAATTTTTTTTTTTTTTTTACTTGATCTCTCTTAAGTTTATTCTACTCCTAAAGGTCTTTAAAAGCCTGTATGTCAACCATGGTTTTTTATTCCAATAAATGTTAGTAACTACCATTGTCACAACTAATACATAAGAGTAGTAGACAAAAGAGTTTTGGGAGGAGAAAAAGATAATCTTGTAAGGCTAAAATTTTCCCAAACCTTGTTTATGCTCACAGCTTATTCTGTGGCCTTTATTAACTCTGTTTCCACCAGCTCCCATAGTTATTATGATATTACCTATTTATTTTTTTACTGTGAAAACACAGTTCTTAAAGAGTTTTATAGTTTAATCAGGAATGAAGTTTATCTGGGGAGGGCAGTTCATTACATTATAACTAAAGCAGTACAGATAAATTGAGAAATAAGAGTTTTAGACACATTTTATCACCCAGTTTCTATTCCTAAGATAGAATTTTTAAGAGTTCCTTTTGTATCCTTACCAAAATTTTTTATTCATTATTAAAATGATTGTGTTTGTGTGTGGATAAGTTATTAGAAGCCCTTTAAATTTCTTGTATGTTTGCTTCACTGAACTTCATGAATATCTTCTGATTTTCAGGCCTTTACTTCTCAACACTAATGGTGCCCAAAAGAAGAATCTGTTTCAGCACATAGTCAAAGAACCAGCTGATAATCACCATCATAAAGTAATTTTTTAGTTAAATTCTATTTTATATTATCTCAAACTAAACTATTACCATACTATTTCAGGCATTCCAAGAAGTTTATTGAGTAATATTCTCAGTGCTCATCCTCCAGCTTTTTTAATTCATGACTTTTTTCATTATTTGCTTTAGATTATGTTAAGAAATAAACCATTATAAATGTAAGTTATCTCAGTTGTCTGTTGCCAAGTTTGTTTTTCTCCCCCTTTTCAGTCTCTCTTGTCACCTAATCACTATTTTGAATTAGTATTTATTATTTCTGAAGTCATTATTTGTAAGTCTGTGAACAGTATTTGTTATTATTTTACATATGTCTGAACTTATAAATGATACCAATTTGAACATACTATTTTCAAATTGTAGCTTGTAGCTTTTTTACCTTAGTTTTGCTCCTTAGATTTAGTAAACAGAATTAATTCAACTACTATCATATTAATTATTATAATAATGTAATTATGTATTTATCCATTGATTATTTTAAGTTTACAACTTTTATTATAAATGTACACAGACTAGACTTTTACTATAGCAATTTCAAAAAGTATTTTTGTTTACTTTCATTTTTTTCACAGGCTCTCTGGATAATTTGTCAAACTTACATCCAGAGGGAAATTTATCCAGTCCAGAGTCACTTCTTTTAGTATCCGATTATCATTGTTACTTTCAAATCTTAGAATTTTGAATACTGTTTGAGACTTATTATTAAAGTATCAAGCTTTTTCTCCACAGGAAAATTAAGAGTTAAGCTTACATCTGGTTTCTTTTCCTACCACTGTTTTTAATCAAATATAGCAAAATACTTTGTTTTTAGGATTAAAAATTCATGTAAGAGAAAGATTAATTTAACTGGATTTACATATTTTTAAATACTCCACATCATCTGCCTCTGTATTACCTGGTATTAAAATGGATAGATTTTTGCATTAAATTAATACTTCAGTTTGCTTTAAAAAATTGAGTGTTTTTTTTTTTTTGTTAATGTACCTATGGTCCCAATGTAACTAAATTAAAAAAAAAAAATCACTGAAATGCCAGGCTGACATTTAACTTTGGAATAGTTGAAGGGTTTTTTTCTTTCCTATTTTTGAAACCAGTTAATCAGTGTGAATAAAATACGTATCAGGGTAGCTTGAGAGAAAATAGTCCCCGTCAGAACAGTAACCATCTAGTTATGCTTGAAATTTCTGGTGAAATCCTGACTTTTTTATCCTTTGAGTATTAAAAAAATACTTTAAAATATGAAGATCTTTCTGTATAAACATTCAGAGGCATGCTATCTTCAAGGTCCCTTGTAGATTAAAAAAAAAGAAACCAAAAACAGTTAAGTAGGGTATGGAGAATGATATGTCATACCTCTGTGAATTGGCACTACTAGTATAATTAGTGTATAAGTCCAAGAAGGACAGAGAACATACCTGTTTTGCTTACTGTTGTGTCCTCGACATGTAGTAAATAGTAGATGCCAAATTAGCATTTTTTATATAATAATGTTTGGTAGATAATATAATTTCATTTTTTTAATATATTTTCTCCTTGATTCTTTAGGTTCCACATAGTAGGACTGAAGGTTTAAAATCAAGGGAGCGAATTTCAGATGATATCATTATTTATGATGTTACCGATGATAATGCAGATGAAGAAAATATCCCTGTTATTCCAGAAACTAATGAAGATGTAATATCTGATCCCTCCAAGTAAGGAGATTGTAAAATAAAATTTATGAAAATATTGGTTACTTTTCTTACCAGAGAGTTACTGTCATGTATAATGCACACCATGGTCTTAACGCTGTCCATGTATAATGCACATCCTTAGCACTACTCCTGTATAAATGTACATCCTTATTTTTCCTCTCAAAAATTTGGGCAAAATGAGCATTATGCATGGCAAAATACAGTAAATTCAAATCCACTTTATTCTTTGATGAACTAATGTCCAACTCATGTTTGAGTTATTAAACTGAAAAATTACGCCAAATTATCCAACCAGGTACTCCCTTTCAGCCCCAGCAAAAAGACACCCAACAACAAAGTAATAAGAATTCTGATTTTTTAATTTTGTAGTTAAACTCCTTTAATTGATTTTTTTGTGGTCTTATATCATGTGAACTATCAATATTTGTGATTAAGATACTTTCCCAAGAAATTTAAGAATTCAGATATGTGGGTTTGGGAAGAGAATCTCCAAAGAGAATGAATGGATAGATTTAATTTATTGAATTGGTCTGAAAATATAATTGGTTCTTTCTCATATTGCTGACCCAGCTGTAACCAGTACCCTGATATTGTCATTGTTGAAGATGACAATGAAGATGAGTATGCACCTGTCATTCAGAGTGGAGATCAGAATGAACCAGCCAGAGAAACCCTAAGTTCTGGCGGTGATGGCACTAGCCCTCTCATGTCTAGTGCCGTCCAGCTAAATGGCTCATCCAGTCTGACTGCAGAAGATCCTGTGACCATGATGGATTCCATTTTAAATGATAACATCAATCTTTTGGGAAAGTGAGTGCTCATATAGGTGTCCAAATTTATTTGCTTTGTTTACTTTACTTACTCTCTCTCTCTTTGATTGATCTTCCTTTCACAATATGAACGCATATAGTCTATATTTGTTTTGGTCAGGGCCAAGCTTCACAAATGCTATTTTGAGAAGGATTTAATCATCCCAAGAGCAGTCTTGGGATTTTCTTGACAGTTCCTCAAATTTTTTTTTTTTTAATGAAATACTTGTTTTGAATGTCCGTAATGTATATGAGGTTGTATTAAATGAGTTTAAATCAGGACTGTGGAATAACATGCCTCTATTAAGGGACTTATTTCTGGCATAAGAAAATAAGAAATTAGTTGCAATGATAGGTAATAAGAGGTTAAATATTTAATATTTTTTAACATAAAGGAAAGATGAATCAGTGTTTCGTTGCTGAACCTTTTTTCTGTGAGTACTGAAGTTTTTGTACAGGTTGTGGGTTCTCAGTTAACTGAATTTTCAGGAATCTCCAGTATTGAATAAGATCTCTTAAGATTAAAAATTGGTAAGGATTCAGCAGTTTCTGGGAATGTTTTGCCTAGCTGGATTACAATGTATTTTAAACATAAAAACAAGAAAACCTAATTGATTTTTTATTTCAAATTTTTATTTTCTCTTAGGGTTGAGCTGTTGGATTATCTTGACAGTATTGATTGCAGTTTAGAAGACTTCCAAGCCATGCTGTCAGGAAGACAGTTTAGCATAGACCCAGATCTTCTGGTTGATGTAGGTACTTTGAATAATCTTTGTTGTACTTGTAGTTTGTATGTCTTATGTGTATTATTTATAAATCCATACATCATTTTCTTATGTTTTACACTTGTTTTTGACATTGGTTTTGTTTTTGGTTTTTTCCTTCAATCAGTGGTTTTGTGTATCAGAAAGATTGAACAGATGGCTTCAGAACAGTTAAAGAGGGTAGTAACTACCCATCTCTGAGAAGCAGTTTCAGTTAATCCGCTCCATAACAACACATCAACATTGTTCAACAGTACTGTTAAACTTAGGTCTTGTCTGTACTTGCTGCTGTATTATATTTTGCTGTAGGATAAATTGTCTGAATAGAAAATGGTAGAAATTAGTAATGGAGATATGTAGTCAGGAAATAGCATGAATACACTTCTTAACTTTGGAAATTAATGTTTTCCATTCAAATGTATTATACTAGCTATACTTTTAAAATTCTTATGTCCCATACCCTAAAGTTCCCCTGCTCCAGTCCTCACCACCAACTCTGAGAACTTGACTCCAGTGTTGTCTGGTTTGTGAGTCCTTATCTACCATTTCTGGCAATAACCGCCTTTCTCATTCTCTTCCCTTGTGTTCCTGTCACCCCCTTCCTTTCTTTACCTAAGCTTCCTTTGTGGCCTGCTCCCATCCATATGAATCTGGTTCTCTCCCCATGTTCACTTCCTGTTGTGAACATGTTTCTGTCTGTTGAAAGTTTTGTTTGGTCCTTCTTTTGGCAATTTTTTTTTCTTAAAATGCAGCTTATTTCACATCAAGATTATATAGTCTTGCCCTTTTAAGAGCTTCTCAGTGAGGCCAAAGGAATTAGTCTTTTCTTACTCTTTAATCTAAATTTACCACCTACTCCCTCTGCTTCTCATCAGTCTTTGTGTGACAAGACTTTATCATCTTATCAGGGCCTCATGGGATGAATTTCACTGTCTTTGAAGACTTCCTTCCATGCTGACCTAGTTACGATTTTAAGTGAATTCAACATCCATGTTAATGTCCTACTTCAACTGGTTAATAGTAACGTGACTGTCCTTGATTCTATTAGTCTTTGTCCCCACTCTGAATCTGGGACCTTTTAGAATACTTGTGTTTTAGATTACTAAGAAAGAAAGAAAATCCTATAATTTTGACCCTTTACAAACCCTTGCTGTCTTCAACTGAATTATTCTAATTCAGCTTTGGAACATTTATCATAGTCATTTGTCCTCATGACCTTTTCCAGCCAACTGTTTTCACAGAGGGTAATTCACCCCACCCTGGTCCTCTCATAAGATGTGGAATTTCATCTTAGAGGAAGTGCCTACTTCTTCTTTGAAGCCAATTTGTACACTTGCCCCTGCCTGTCTGTTTTTATCTCTATCCTTGCTTTTTCCCCACCTGCCTGCAATAGGTACAGACCTTCCCCCTCTTAAAAACATTTTGATGTGTTGTTCTGCTTGTTTACCATTCTGCTTTTCTAAAAGAATGGCTGTATTTTTTTCTTCTTTTTTACTCTATATTTCTTTTCGAACCCTGTATTGTCTTACTTATTTACTCTAAGCCTATTCTGCCTTGGTTCATTCATAGTGAGTAGGCTGTGATTTTTTTCTGCCCTCCCCCCCCAAATTAGCTCACTGGGCTCGTAGAAGGTTTGTATTGAATCAGATTTGGGTTCCATTTTTGGCACATGTTGCTTACTATACTAGCTGTGTTTTTATTAACTTTGAGAAAGTTAATCTCTTTTCCCAGTTTCCCCATCCTTAAAATGTAGATAATGCCCTGAAGGGCTCTTGTTAGATGTATAAGTAATTAATAGTATTACTACTGATTTTCTACAATAAAACTTGCTCTGTTGGTTTTAGAAGTTCTGGGACCTTTTTTCTCTTCCTATCTTCCTAAACATTCTCCATTTCTTCTAAACACTTCTTTTTTTCCTGTTGGCTTCTACTTAGTCATCCCCAGGTACTTGATCTTTCATCCTCTTTTATTTTCTTCTCCTCTTCTTTTTCTGTCCTTCCTCTCTGGGGGGATCTGTGCTTGTAGGATTTCTGTCTTCTACCTCTTATTATTTTTTAAAGTAAACTTTGCTTGAATTCTAATTCCATGCCTTTGAGAAACATCATTTAGGTCTTGCCTTATATTAATTGTGTTTAGCACCAAACATTTCTTTATTTTCTAAACTAGATACTGTTTTCAGCTTTTTAAATTTCCCACTCTTGCCTTTCTCATTCAAGACCATCATTATCTCATCCTTGAATTATGCTGTATTGCTATAAATATAAAATCCATGCATAGGTTGCCTTGTTCTCTGAGCTGCTGAAGATGATAAGGACATAGATAAGTGTGCTGAAGAGTTCATGGGTTCTCTCTGCAAAGTTTAGTACTGAGGGACCCATTGTGGAGTCAGCAGGAGGGGCCTGGCCATACAGTTCAACCAACTATGTTAGCTCCTCATCTGTAATCGACTTTTTTATAGTTCATACTATACATCTGCTGGGAATATATAAAGGTATTCCTGAGTCAATGTATAGGGGAAGTGGGATAAAAAATGAGAGGGGATCTTACACTGTTGGCCCTCTTTAGATGCCAGTCTTAGTAGGGACAAAATTTGGTCAGTGCAAGCCAAACTGGCAGAGATTAGCAGTCATGGGTAGCTATCTACTCTTAGGAACTCAGTCTTCTCCTCTTCATAGATCAGTATGTGATATGACAGGGGAAACAATGAATGAAAAGGAAGAACTGGGGATATTTTTAGGTACACTATGAATACAGAACTTGGAGAGGAAATCAGTGCCCAGACAGGATAGAGGAATGGCCTGTGGCTTCTGCACTGCATTCTATCCTGTGAACCACTTTGGTGTGCTCATTGTTAAAATGCTTTAATTGCCATTTTTCATTGCTCAGTCCATTCCCAAAGCTCTTAAAGGCAAAAGCACTCCCGATTGGCCATGCTTTACTTTTTGAACCTTATGTATACCACTTACTATTCAACTCAGAGTTTCTGTGTGATTTAGACTGGTCTCCTTTTTCTTTGTTTCTGCTAATGTTGTAACAATGTATTCTTCCCTCCATCCTCTCCTTTCCAGGTCTACAGGCCCCAGGGACTGACTGATAATGTTACATAGCTTCATCCAGGCTTTTTGTTTATCCTATATATGTATGTGTGTGTGTGTCTGTGTGTTTTCCTTCTTTCATTCTCTTCACTCTTTAGTACTTTTGAGCTCCGCCATCCATTATTATTATAATACTGGATTGTATCTGATCATATGTTGTTAATTTGATGTTGTGCTTATCTTGTCTTTTAGATTGTAAGCTCCTAAAGAGCAGGAACAGTGTCTTCATTTTATATTCTTTATGATGACAATTATTTCTTATATGGTCACTTAATCCCTATTAAATGAATGACTTTGAAACTTACGACAAACATAAGTTATATTTGAACTGGCTGGACTGAGGCGAGCAGTTAGCAGTGGTCTTAGCATCTACAACTTCTCTGGCTAGGTGAAGCGAAAAGAAGGTATGCCATTCGTACTTGAGGAGCCATTGTCGTAGAGTAGATTCTGTAAGTTTTTCATAGAATTAGCAAATGGTCAGTGAAGGCTTAGGGCCAGGACAAGGAACTCAGTCCTGTTTGCCACTTATGGCCCAATGTATTCAGGGAGAAAAAAAATGAAGGAAAAGAAGGAGAGGGGAGCTGTGGAAAAAAACACCATTTGTCTCAAGTGATTATAGTTTTATAGAAAAATTCGTACAACATCCAGTGCATGGGCTAGCTTGCTCTGATTCTGTTTGTTTTTCTTTCTGCTTTCCTGCTTTTCTCTTCCAAATTTATTTTATTGTATGGAAACTCCCTAGTGCAGGGACTGTATCTCTTCATCCAACATGGCTGTATAAAAATTTTGAACACAGTTAGTTTTTTAAAAATATTTTTTAAACTTATCTTTCTTGTTTGGTCTTTCAGCTTTTCACTAGTTCTGTGCAGATGAATCCCACAGATTACATCAATAATACAAAAGTAAGTTTTAATTCATGTTGCTCAGGACCCATAGCTATAAGAATCTGAAAACACTCCTCGTGAGTAGAGAGCAGTATCACTCCCAGTTAAAGGCATTTTATATTCTTACCTAATATGTGTGATCAAGATAGTAAAATTTTAGATGAAAAATCAGCTTTTGGTTATGGGGTGAATCATTGCTCAGTTTTACTGGCACTTGTACAATTAAGTACCAGTATGAAATCAGCCCTCAAAGTGCTGGCAGATTTTGTCATTAAACCTGGCATTGTCAGGTATGTCACTGAAATAAATTATTAAAATATTATTTATTTATGTTTTATGTGCTTGATTTTACGTTCTTATTCCTTCAGTAAATTTCTCAGTATTTTTATTTGAGAATTAGCTTGCACCCATATTCTTAAATAAGTATCTTCATTTTATTAGAATATAGTAAAAGTTCAGGGATTCGTACTAATTTTAGATAAGGCAAATTAAAACAAAGTATGGCTTTTAGACTTCTTTAAGTGATGGTTTTTGTTATTTTCTTAAAGGTACAGGAACTCCAGTTGGGATTAACACATGTTAACAAGTCTTTGAAACTGGTTTTTCATGAGTAATAAGGACAGTTTGAGGTTATTAGAGCAGACATTTAGAAATTATTGTTCTATTTTGTGCTATTTATTGTCTTGAAGAGGTATATACTCCATTTATCTTGTATTTATACCAAATTGTTTAGTAATCCCTATTTTTCATTGATTACAAAGGTAAATCAAGTCATCTGAAATTTGTACAAATTCTAGACTAGTAAAATCAAGTATTATAGTCTAAAAATGAACACACATCAAATAAATGAGTGATTACAGAGAGCGGGTGTAATTTTTCTCACTGTTGTCCTTTGTGAGGATAGCCTGACCAGATTTTTTACATTTTTAAAGTTATAGCCCTAGGTAACTTAATAGTTGAAAGAAGTTGCGAACTTTTTGAACCAGAAAGTTTACTATGCATTTAGTTTCAGCTGACTTATATTAGGGGTTGGCGTATTTTTTTTCTGTAAAGACCAGTTGATAAATATTTTTGTCTTTGCAGGCCATGTGTTCTCTGTCACATCTACTCAGCTCTGTGATTTTAGTGCAGAAGAAGCCATAGATAGTACTTAAAAGAACGAGTGTAGCTGTGCTCCAATAAAACTTTATCTGCAAAGGCAGTGAGCATGCTGTATTTAGCATGTGGACCATAGTTTGCCTAGGTTTATATTATAAGATTCTATGGACCACCTCAGCACTGTTTCATCACATATAATACTGAATATTAGACCTGAAGTTGAATGATCCCATAACAGGCATTTATTTAGTGAATGTGATATACTGTTATTTCTTGATTAGACTTTGAGTCATTCTTTATTCTTAGATCTCCTCCCTATTCCAAAAACCAGTAGCTTAAATATAGTTTTCAGAAATAGCTTTTAAACAGCAAATTGCATATTGCTTCAAAATGATATAGAGAAATTAAATTTGAGAATGACTTTTCATTATAGTTCTAGAATCTAGACTGTTTTCAAATAATTGGCATATCAGTTGTTATTCCCTTAATTAGGTACTACATGACATGGATTACAACACTTTTTCCTAGTAAATGGGTATACTTTATACTTCTCAATACAGAAATCTAGGTGGCCACTACTAATGAATAATAATTTGCATGGAAGCTGAACACTATTTGTTATCCTGGTTCTCATATGTTTTTTAGTGACAGCAGTGGCATCCTTGGAAAATACCTATTTTTTTTTAGGAAGTATACAAGTAAAAATGGTGGTATTGATTATTGTTTATTGTGAATGTTAAAAGAGAAATATTTTAATGTAAATTTTTGGAAAGGTATTAAGTTTTTACTACATCTTGGTATTTTCTCTGAATTCTAGAAACTTTACTGCTTTATTTTTTAATGAATATCAGGGGAATTACAGGAATTAATATGTTTATTACACCATATATACCTAACCAGCATGCAGATATCTGAGACTTAACAGCTATTTAGGAGAAATTGTGAACCTCTGCACCTCACTCTGAACATCGTTGAAAAGAGCACTGAAGAATTTAACAGCATTAGAGATTTAATTCACTTACAATCAGATATAAGAAGAGAAGCCACTGGTTGAAAGAAGCAATTTAAATGAGAGAAAAGAACTGAAGTAGCCACATAAAGGAAATGAAGAACCACGTTAACTTTGAGGCTTCCAAATATAGGAATAAATAGTTTTAGGATGCCACCATGTTATCCTCAGCTACTCTAAATATGCTCATTTACTCTGTGAATGAAGAGAAATGTCTTAATACATTTTTAATGAAAACTGTTTAAAATTAGTTTAAAGAATTACCTCTTAATTAGAAGCAATTTTTGACTTATTCCCATCCTTTATCCTTGACAAATTCTGTCTATTCTGTTCAAATGTCCCTTCCTTTTCATACTTACTTTCACTCTAGGTTAAGATATTTGTTTCATCCACTTAATGATAGCAATAGTTTTCTTAACCATTCTTGTTACCTCTACTCAAATCTCTTTCTCTAGTCCATCTTTCCTGATGCTTCTCCTTCCCATATATTTCAGATAATATACCAATATTCACAATATTCATGCACCAGTTTTTATGTTTTGCTATTTTCAGGAATATATAAAATATTAAAAAGTATTTTTATGTTATTTTTCTTTTAGTCTGAGAATAAAGGATTAGAAACTACCAAGAACAATGTAGTTCAGCCAGTTTCAGAAGAGGGAAGAAAATCTAAACCCAAAACAGGTAGGTATAAATGTGATACTAATTTCTATAGAATTTTAGAATTAAGAGTACTGCCCTGACAGCTTATTTGGAGTATCGACCCCATATGCCAAGTTTGTAGATTCAAGCTCCATTTGGGCACATACAAGAAGCAATCAGTTAATGCATAAAGTGGAACAGCAAATCGACGTCTCCGTTTCTCTCCGTCTCTCTCTACCATCAAATAGAATAAAATTAGGAGTCCTACGTAGAAACTAATGCATGCCAATGAAATTCTTGACATACTTAATAATTGAACACAGAATGTGCTGGTCACAGTTCTATGCATAATGTGTCAAGATTCTGACATACAGAGAAGATCGAATTGGTGAGGTAATAGTTTTTAAAATTGGAGTTGTGTTTTTTTTTTCTATTTTAACTTTAGGAGAACAGAAAAAACCTTCATTTCATTTTTTTAAAAGATTTTATTTATTTTTTAGAGAGGAGGAAGGAAGGGAGAAAGAGAGGGGGAGTAACATTCATTGCTTGCCTCTCACACGCCCCCAACTGGGGAGCTGTACCTGCAATCCAGGCATGTGTCCTGACCAGAATTGAACCTTCGACCTTTTGGTTCACAGGCCTGTGCAGAGTCCACTGAGCCACACCTGCCAGGGCAACCCTCATTTCTTAATTGTTGAATAAAATACTAACTTTTCTGACTTGAACATTTTTTAGTTTACTGACAAATACCTGATTTCTTGTTTTGCTGGGTTAGTGATTGCATATGTGCACATCTGTTTCCGTTTATTCTTCCTGTCATCTTGAACTATGTTCAAGTTGGTAATAAAAGAGCTATTTTCTAATTTTTATTATAGATAAACAGCTTATCCAGTACACTGCCTTTCCACTTCTTGCATTCCTTGATGGGAACCCTGCCTCTACTGTTGAACAGGGAAGCACAGCATCATCAGAAGTTATGTCCTCTGTAGATAAACCCATAGAAGTTGATGAGCTTCTGGATAGCAGCCTGGAACCAGAGCCAACCCAAAGTAAGCTTGTTCGTCTGGAACCATTGACAGAAGCCGAAGCTAGTGAAGCGACACTGTTCTATTTATGTGAACTTGCTCCTGCACCTCTTGATAGTGATATGCCACTTTTAGATAGCTAAATTTCCAAGAAGTGGACTCTACATGTATATATTCATCAAAATGATGAACTATTTATTTTAAAGTATTATTTGGTACCTTTTTTTGTAAAATGCTTTTTTTTTGTTGTTTAATTGGATACTGTGGAATCAAAAGCACCTTTTGCTTTTCTCACTAACCACACACACTTGCAGAGCTTTCAGATGTTACTCAGCTATGTAGGTACACAAGATTTAATGCACATTATTGGCATATCTTTAAGTTGGATTCAGATGGGCATTTTTCTCCAGTTGTAGTAAATTTGAATTATTTTTTATATATGTGCCCATTAACCCCAGTTAAACTTCTGTTTTACTTGTTTGATGCTGTCTGTCTGCATTGAGTGTAGTCACTAAAATTAATGGTAGAACTACTAAAGCTTTCTCTGTTCCAGTTACTTTTGACTAAATATTTTTCACTTGGCTTATTTCTAAAACTGGGAACATAAAGTGCCTGTACCTTGTAAAACTTCATTTGTCTCTCCTGGTTCAGAGAAGTTCATTCATGTTCAACAGGAAAGGCAAAGTATACATACATGAGTGCTTGCTGTCTGATATGGTTCCAGTTCTGTACACATAGAAGGGGATGGGATGGCGTCAGCCCAGTCCACCTAGTTGGGCTAGTTTTAAGTACAAGTTTTTTGGTTTGTTTTTTTGAACCATAATATTTAGTAAAATAAATATAATGAATGTTGCATACTAGTGTCTGATATGTGTTGTTTTTGGAGGTGACACTCACATGAGTTACACTATGGTCTTCGTGCCTCATCTCAAAGATAGCCTGTGTATTGCAGTAAGGGATGAGTGTAAAGTCTCTAAACTTAATGTGTTTTATATTTCTTTGTTCAAAAATTATAGTGGCTTTCTTACTATTTTTATAATAAATAACTGAGAGAAGTATGCCTCTCATTGTTCCCAATCAGTAAAGAACATTATCCCTAGATAAGGGCTTACATTTTTGTTCTTAGAAAAGATAAGAGTCAAATCACTTCCCCCTCTTTGGAACAGGTGCTCAGAGGATTATTGAGACTTAATGCAAGACAGGGCCACTTTTTTCTTTTATCACTTAAAGATTCAAGCAGGGTGCTGGAAGCAATATGGTCAATATCTGAATATTTTATAGGGCTACTTGATGAGGAATTACAGAGATGGCTTCCCTATTGGCCATACTCTGTTTCTTGTTACTTTCGAATTTCTCTATGATGTAAAAATTCAAAGTAAAGCCTAGCACAGAGGGATAGTAAACCCTTTCTTAGCATATCCTCAAGTACTTGGCTCATACACTAGGATCTTGGTGAACTAATTAAAGACCTAAGAACAGTTTTCTGCCTATGCATTTCACAGAGGTTTTCAGGTGAAAAGAGTTGAGAAACTGAGAGGAAACATAACTTCAGAGATGTTTTCTTTTTCTCTCCCCTTCCTCTTTGTGGGATAGGATCAAATTTCTTCTCCCTAGGGACATGCTGGAGCTTTGAAAATGATTTTGAAAACTTTTATACACGTAGTAATTTTAAGTTGGCATTTGAAGATTTTTTCATCTTATGTTTGGTAATTCAAATGAATTTAGGATACTAATAACTACTATTTAAAAAAATAATTAGGTTTTTCTTTTAAATCTAACTAAACGAATCTAAATACCATAGTGATTTCATACACATCATCATTCATTTCACTCCCCCAAAGAATTTTACCATTTTTGTTATGCACAGAAGCCATGCGTTAAAAGTATTGTCACACTTCTCTACAACTAAATTTGAAATTGTTTTCTGTACCCTTAAAATTCTAAGCCTTAAAAACGTCTCCAATTATAAATAAATGATCAAAACATTATGAATCTATGTGGCAGAGACTGTTAACTGGTTGCCAAACCATTTCCTCTTCCAGTCGTGCAGTTAGATTATTTACACCTTTGTAAATCACAGTAGCTATATAACTGAGTTCTGATCAATCAAGAGAGATGTGATGACTAGAACTTCCAGGTTTGGTGTGTGAAAACCTCCTCCATGCAATCTTCTTTGCCCTTTACCCCTCCACTAACTTGATGCGGAGGACTATGTGGCTCCCAAGTATACACTCAAGAAGGAAGAAATGTAGCTTCTGGGATCACAGCTTAGAGGAGAGCTACCCATCATGTAGGCCCATAAAGTCTGAAATGGAAAATCAGTTGTAAGTTCTGGTAAGGGGGCACAAACTTTCGTTCTTTCTCCCTCCAAATTTTCTTGGTTTGACCTGTTAGAGTTTTAGTGTTCACTAATATAGAGTCCAAATTTTGAAGTGAACTATTTTTAAACAAATTTTTTTTTTTACCAGAAATACATCTTTTAGTGGGATGAATAGGTTTTGGGGTTTTCCCCCCCTATTTTTTAAAATTTGGAGGAGAATAATATCCGTATAGTAAGAACATCAATTTTATTCCTATTGTTTACTCTATAGATGTAAATTTCTAAGGAACTTACTTTATAACACAAAAATTAGATGAGAATGGACAGATATTTTAAGTGTTGTCACTCAGTTCTTTCAACAACTTCAGAATTATATACCAGAATTCACTATTATGAAGTTTTTTTAAATGATTTTATTAGCTGGTGACTTAATTAAATCATCTTTTAATTTCGTTGAGAGGAAAAGACTAGAAAACATCAGAATTAAAAAAAGGATTTTTTTTTTTTTTGGTTTAAGTCATTTTTAAAAATAAAAGTGTGGTTGGTATGTATTTTAGCTGTATCATATGGTGATTCAGTATTTTGATAAATTTACACTGTGATCACCTAATTCCAGTGATCTTTTACCGTGTTAACTTATCACAATATTATTGACTATATTCCCTTTCACCTTTTTCATCCATTCTCTTATCCCCTCCCCCCAGGTAACCACCCTTTTGGTGTGTTTTTATGAGTCTGTTTATGTGTAATTGTTTCTGCTTTTTTAGAGATTTTATCCAAGTGCCTTGGTAAGATTCAGAATGAATGCAACATCTATCAGTTTTGTCTCATGTGAAAAAAATAATTGTTAAGGGGATAAAGCCTTGTACAGGGGCATATTTTCAGCAGATCAACTCTAGGAAAGAACACACATGGAAATTGAAGATCTGGGAACTGATTGTTTTAAAAATAATTTAGCTTCTGTTTACTAGAAAAAGTTTCTGCGTACTATTTGGAAAACAGGTATCACCATGTGAAGACAGTTAATTCAGAGGCTACCCCCCATCTCTATCCCGCCTCCAACTTTCTCCTGCTTCCAAGAGAACAGGAGGTAGCTTGTGACTTAGAGCTAAATGTCCTTCTTAGGGTGTCACTACAGCAGTTCCTCAAATGCCATTTTGTTCAGTGTGGTTTCACTATAATAGGGAAGTCTTCCCAGCTGGGGCCCCTGTAGAGAGTTTGCATGTTCTCTCCATGAATGTGTGGGTTTTCTCCAGGACTCCAGTTTCCTCTCACATCCCAAAGATGTACATGTGAGGTGAATCACCCAGTCTAAATTGTCCCAGTCGAGTGTGTCAGTGTGTGTGAGGGTGCCCTGCAATGTGTCCTGTCCAGGTTTGGCTCCCATCTTGTGCCCTGAGTTGCTGGGATAGCCGCCTGCCCCTGGCAGCCTGAACTGGAATAAGCGGACTGTAAATCATTTTCTTTACTACCCTTTCCTGAATGTATAGAACATGTTTATTTCAGTATTTGATATTGCAAGTGCTTTGGGTATTTATAAGATTGGTGGTATTTTTGTGACCAGAAATATGCTGGAAGAACTCAACTATTATTTTTATCAATTAGCCAAATGGAAAAGTTCTGTTACATGTCATTTTGCTTCAGGCCAGCTTCTAAAAACCTATGGACATTGAGGACTTACTCTGTTTCATATACATGGTATACCCAGGAGTTGAGAGGCTGAAGTGTGAGAAGAAAGGTCTGTAGAATGGGAAAATGACCAAATGACAGTCATTATGATGAACATACAGACTGCTACATTTAAGAATTAGCACCTAGACTTTTGTTTCAGGCATACATGAAATTTTGAGAACACGTTGCATATCAGGCCTTTAAAGCAGATCAACACATTTTAAGGAGTTGGCAAGACTACAATACAAATAAGCTAGACCTTGATAGTTTTGAGGAATACTGGCTTGATATCTTGTGTCCTCAATTGGGTGTTACCTGATGCTTTTTCCGTGATTAGACCGGGGTTATGGGTTTGGGAAAGACCACAGAGGTGAAGTGCTATTTTCAGCATACAAGGGGGGACCCGCCCAAAAATGGAATTATCTTCTGGAGGGTGGGCCCACTATAGTACAGGGCTTCCCTGCTAGTGTTCTAGGAACTCATCTGTAGCAGGTGAGAGGCTGCATTCAGCTTCAGTGAAGTGTTTTTGAAGACTCTCCAGTGTGTTTGCCCATTCTGTGATAGGTGATCTATAAGCACCCCTGCCCACACTGTGCTATCAGCAGTTTTTGACCGAAAACATGACCCCCATGCCCTGACCTCTGTATTCACCCGATCTCACCTCAGCAACTCTTTTTGTTTCCCTGATTAAAAAAGTCCTACAGGAGAAACATTTTGCTAATGTGGAAGAGGTGAAACAAAAAATGGTAGAAGCACTAAAAGGCATCAAAATCAACAAGTTCAGAAACTGTTTTAAGCAATGAAAAAAAAAAGCCAATATGTGTATTGCATCAAATGGAAAGTACTTTGAAGGTGACTGAAGTTTAAACATTTAAGAATATACAACTCAAATTCCAGTTTTTTTGGCGTCCCCCTCGTGTATCAAAGGTACATGCTATCAACCTGACTTTTCACTGTTAACCTTGACTTAGTACTGATTGGAATGTCAAAAGGAACATATCCATGAGCCCAAAGGTTCCACAGTACCTCCCACGCTGTTTCAAAAACCCATGCGGCCCATGCATCACTGCCTTACAGGCATCAGTCTTACGTGTCTGTATCTGCCAGCGACGGATTTTGGACTTGTCAGCCCTGTAACTGGTAAGCCATTGCCAATGTATATCCTGTTGGTTCTAATACGTGAACTAAAAAATGAACAGAAACTCTATGCTCTGTGTTAGAAAATCAAGGGTTAAGGAATGGAACAGCTTTTGCTCAATAAATGGGGATGCATTTCGGATTTCACAGGACAGTACTAAAAGGTTTATTAACACTGGCCAAATACAAGTCGAACATAGGACAGCAAGACATAATTGAGATATTTAGGGTCTTTAAAAAATTGGTAAATTGAATCTAATCAAAATTACACACTTTCGATCTGCAAAAGGCCCTGTTAAGAGGATGGAAAAACAGAGCTATAGACTGGGAGAAAATATTTGCAACTACATATTTGATAAAGGACAAGTATCTAGGATATATGAACTCTCAAAACAAATAAATCCGATGAGAAAATGGCCAAAAAACATGAATAGACATCTCACCAAAGAGATCATATAGATGGCAAATATGCACATGAAAAGACACTCGACATTAGCCATTTGGGAAAAGCAAATTAAAACCACCAATGAGATCACTTTTCTATAGGATGGCTAAAAGAAAAAAAAAGTGATCAGAAAGAAACCAAACTGCTCATACATCAATGGTGTGAATGTGAAATGCTACTGTTGCTCTGGAAAATAGTTGCCCTGGAGATCCATTCAAGTTGTACCAATAGTTCATTCCTTTTCATAGTTAGTAGTATCCCCAAACTAAACTGGTATACTACAAGGTTCTTTAAAAGTATGACGCCATCTTAATTACCTTTGAGAGATCTAACTTAAGGGGTTACTTTCAGAGGACCAAAAGGGTAAATTATCACCTTTAAAACAATTCAATTTTTCAGGACAGAAAATGGTTGGTTAATTAACCCTCTAGTCCAGGTTCTTTTATATACAAGAAAATAGGTCTGATTATTTCAGCCACCTAAATTTGAGTTGATAAAGAATTAATACATAGCACACTTTCTCTGAATTCATTTATTTAGAGATAGAATACAATCATTCAAATAATGGAACACATCAATACAGAATAAGGCTGGGGAATTAAGCTGTATTGTTACACTGCATTTAAATTAATAAATATCTTGAAAGAAGCAAACAAAGGTTTTTTGAGGGGGTAAGATTAAGACACTAATGACACAAGTAACTAAGAGTTTCTAAGCTGTTAGATACTGCATTTTTAAGATTATAATAATCTATATATTTTAATTAGATGGCAGCAGATACAAAAGCATTTGGAACATCCTTTGAACTGTATAGCGTGCTGTAAGCAGGAGTTTATTCTGCAGCATTCCATCATTCTCATGGCTTCAGTTTACAGGTAGGAGGCAAACCAACATTTTAAGGAATTGTGTTGACACCAACAATCCACAACACATAAATTATCTACCACGACTCAGGTGTAAAATCTATTACACATGTATTTTTAATAGAAATTAGTTTTGAATGCCAGAGAGAATGTCAGTTCTTTTCGGCAGACTTAGGCCTTCTTAGCTTTTCCACTAATTAGCGACCTGAGCTGTTTAAATCTGTGCTTCAGTTGCTTCTTTTTTAAAATGGTAGGATTGGACTAGATTTTGTCTAAGTATCAACTGAAGCCTACTATTTTGCAGTTTCTTGCTGTCCTGTCCAAAGTCTACCACCTTTGATTTCAAAGTGGTTTTCAACAACTTCCTTCTAATTCATGATTATTCTTTTCAAAAACTTTGTGTAAATCCTTCAGAGTTCCTTACATCTCCACTGAACCCATGCTTTTACATGTGTTTATAATGACCAAAACAAAGCTATGTTGCTATGGAAGGCCATCCCTACTCAGGGAAGATTAAAACCTAACTGAGTATTCAATTTAGTACCCATCACCAATCTGAGTTTCCCTGAAGTCTCTGCCTCAGTTTCCCCATAATTCACACTACTGTCCACCAAACACTGTATGTACAAGTTTCCTATCTTTATATCAAGGGAAAAACCTAAAAAGACTTTTCAGACAATAGTCACTTAAGTGACTTGCTTAAACAATTTTTAAATAGCCATGTTCTTTGCAGCCTCCTGCAGGGAAAGGCAGCAAGTGTATCAAAAGGCAGCCATACACTTCCTTTTACACTTGTAAGCTTAAGTGCTAACACAATTTAAAAATCAAACTGTCAAGTAGTCTTGTTTTCACTATTATTTTCACAGGTACAGAACAGGATTAACCTAACAATGTCCACTTTTCCTAACTCACCACCATACTCATAAAAACCTCTGTGATTCATTCTAACACACCTATCAATGTGCTTGGCAAGAATATAATGAAAAACAAAATGGCAAGCAGTAAAATCTAATTCATGCCAGAACACTGGAGAAGTTTCATGGGAAGCACAAACATACACAACTTTACAAAAGTTGGAAATACTGTTAATTTCAAATAAGCAATGATTACATTGGGACTTTCATCATGCCAGAAGCCCTATTCAGTCAAAATCACGATTTGTAAGAACAAGTGGTGCCACCAGTGTCCAAACATACAGTACGATGCCGATCCAACTAGAAGAGATTTTCACCCAGACAGCTGTCCACTGACTTTTCATCTCATGAGAAGGCTCATACCTGAAATGTAAAGAAAACCAAAAGGGGAGGTATTGAATGATCAGCCCTCAAGCTACTCCATTACTCCAGGAGTGTTCTTTGTATACAGTTTGTAGTAACACTGTGGCAGACTAATCTGTTGCCTTGCTTTCCATACTAATTTTAATGACTAATGTGAAGGTAAACATCAGTAACTTTCTCTAAAGGAGTAAAAGACATAGGTATCTAAAAGCTGTTTTAAATACTCAGAGGCTTTTTGTGTTTTTCTAGCTTAGTAGCTATGAAATAGCAGAGAAATAGAGCATGAGCTCTGGATAAGATGTTATAAACACAAAAGACTCATCACTTCTATTCTTTATAAAGAATATAAATCTGTTCAAAGTATCTGTTCTATCCCCTATTCCTGTCTCAGATTTAAGACTAGGAAGGAACTACATCCCAAATTTAGCTGATTTTTGTGTTAAGAACACATACCAAATATATTTTTGGTCTAAAGTCTTAACACTTACTACCTGAAAGCCAAAGCTGTGAATTAATTGAGAAGTATGTGGATTCTTACAGCTTAATATGTTGCATTGTAGGAATTTTTAAAACTGTTTATTTTTCAGTAATAAATGCCAGTAAAGGCTGCTCTGAATGAGGCAGAGATAATTTTTTCAAAATCTTTTACTGGTATTTAAAGTCTTATTACCAGTTAAAGATACTATGCATTAAAAATTATTAAAAACAGAACTGCCCAAAATATACAGTTCACCTTGAATCTCAAAAATCAACTCTTTCATTAATTGGCAGAATTAGAATTTTCAAAACCAAAATAATATAAATTGTTACCTTCCTCTTATTAGAAAAAGATGTGTGAATTAGTTTCGCAAGTGATTAAAAACATAAATTTTTCCCTGGATGGTGTGGCTCAGTGGACTGAGTGGCGGCCTATGAACCAAAGGTTCAATTCTAGTCAGGGCACATGCCAGGGTTGCGGGCCAGGTGCCAGTAGGGAGCACGCGAGAGGCGACCAACACACTGATGTTTCGCTCCCTCTGTTTCCCCTCCCTTACCCTCTCTAAAAATAAATATTTTCTTTTCAAAAGCACAAATTAGCTTTAAAGTATTCTAAGGATCCACCTACATTAATGTCTTCACCCTTCAATTTTAAAGCCTTAATGACAAAGTCTGAACAAAACAGAAGAGGTATCTTTTACTGTGTTTTACTTGGAATTGGTTTCAGAATTTAAAAAATAAGGAAAAATAAACTGTTCAACTATCAAAATGAATTTCTGTAAGAAATGTTATTTCCATGAATACTGTGTTTAACCCCTCCGAGATTTAGAAATAGTTCAATGTTTGTTACTGTAAAAGCATGCAAGTAAAACCTGCATTTCACTCACTGACCTCACTATACATTTAGCTATAAATTTTAAAATACATGAAAGGATTAAAAAATACTTCACACCATGTTTTGCAATGGAATTAAGAAAAAGCTATCAGAATTTCCACATGCAAAGTTTTCATAAAATAGGTACCTGTACCAGTTGGTAAGGGTCATCATGATATAAAGGGAAGCCAGGAAAAGCATGAAGTGAAAGAAGGAATAACTGTAAGTGACACCATCCCTTTCATTATCCACAGCTCGGTGAACATCATCTCCATCCTCAAGTGATCCATCACTTCTGGCTCCGCCGTCTTCTATTAATGTTGATTCATCACTTGTTAGGGTCAGCTTATTAACCTGACTATTGTTTGAAGTACGGATGCTGAATGAAAATGGTTCAGAAAGAGAGAAGGAAAGGGGCATTAAAAAATTATTTACAAACGAATATCTAAGACTTCTTGTTTAAAAAAAAAAAAAATCTGTAATTGTTCTTACCTTGAATAGAACACACACAATAAAAAGAGGATTAGCCCTATGATTCCTTGGGCATGCCACCACTGGACAGACTGCCCCTCCTTTGGGACGGTTCTTGTTGTGTTGTACCCAATTATGCTTAGTAGACTTGGGTTGCAATTTGTTTCTGTAATGTAAATTAAGGTCAAATTAAACTGTTAGAATAAAATAAAAATTTATTTTTCAAGGTTTAACTGTAGTTCTTTTTAACTCTTTATAAGATTTATTATACTTTAGAGTATACTTCTATTTGCCAACTTAAGAATAAAACTCAGGTGTTCTAAACCAAAATGCACCGGCTTTTTACTATATATTGTGACATTCCAATAGTGACTAGTGACATTACGAAGTTTATCAATTTGTCAAAATACATTGCTATAAATGCAAGAGACCTTACACATACCAATTAGAATTCTAGCAAATACTTTATGGAAACAGCCAAATAAGCCATAATGACCTGATGCTTATTCAGTTTCTTAACTCTTCTAAGAAAGAACTGAAGCAGGCATGGTAAAGTAATTAGTAAAATTTCCAAAATGTATTTCTTTTTCCTACAAAGCCAGATATGTCAATCACTATCTTATTAATGAAAAATGGTTCTTACCTTAAAGCCATTCAGATAAGGACATCTCAAAATCAAATTACTAATAATTTTTTCTAACCATTTACCTAGATGAAATTAATAATGAAATCTTTCTCTAATATACTAAACGAACAAAAAAACCCATTCTCCAACTAGTGATAAAGCACCCAGAGTTTGCAAATTCAATAAACTGAGACTCAGCTAACATAAAATTATTTTAAAGAAAAGATTTGGTTCCTTTTCAAAAAATAGTAATTCCTCAACCAATTTGTTCCACTTCAAATGATGTTGGATTGTATTCCAATGAAATGTGGTGTAACTGACATACAAAGAGATTCATTACAAAAGCCCCAATTCACTTGCAAGGGAGTCACAAAAATAACTTCAGTAAAACAAACACAAACTACTGTCTACAATTGAATCAATTAAGTATTGGAACCACTTTTATTTCTTTGTACAATTTATCATATGCATTGTGAAAATTAGGTATAATTTTCATATAATTTCTTAAAAGTTAGTGAAGAAATAAGAAATATAGAGCAAACATGGAAATGTTATTATTTCCATATTATTTATTCTTCTAGGAATACGATTGCCTTCTGCTACCAGTTGACCCCCTTTACCTGTTCTGCCCTCCCCTCTAAGAACACCTTGCCCTCTGGTAACCACCAATCTGTTTTGTCTTTATGAATTTGTTCTTCTTTTATTTTTTATATTCCACAGATGAGTTAAATAATAGGATATTTGTCTGTCTTAATTTTTAAATAGATTCATTTCACAAAATGACTACCTCTGAAAAAAAAGAAAATTGCAGGACTGATTAAAAAGAAATAAGCCCAAGCAAACAAAACATAAAACATACCTGGTTCATTGGTCATAGCAGACCATGTCAAATACATTGTGTAGACTGTAATTACAGAAGACTGTAACAAACCAGATCTTGGCTGTGATTCCTAGAAAAATAAGCAATGGAGATAAATATTCTAACATCTTTCAAGATTTAGGAAAACTCAGAAAAATAGAAGCTTCAATAAACTAATGATATAAAGAGCATACTTGGATTTTTGGCAGTATAGACATGATAGAAGCACCAAGGCAGAGGAGCATGTTGACACTGATGAATGCTTTATTTTCTGAACAACTGGCTGGATGAGTATAGTAAACAAAGAACAGGACGATAGCAACTAAAGACAGCAGATAATTCAGAGCTGTAGCTGATAACAAAGCTGTGAAAGAAATATAATTGGACAATTAGATTTTATCACAAATATTAGAAATTGCGCATAGGCCTTATTTAAAAATAATCTTGTTTTACTAAAAATATATGTAAGCAACTGACATTGTCAGTAGTATGTAGGCTATAAAAGCAGGGAAAATATTAATTCTCAACTTTATAACAAAAGAATTTTATTGTCCTTAAACCTAGCTCACAATTATTATGTTTTCAAGTTAGTAACACACTAATATGATTGTTATTAATGGTAGTGACTATATTAGAGTTTATAAAACATTAACATATGCTAACCAGTATTTTCAAATTACAGGAAAATAAGGGGAAATATAAGGGGACTATATGGTAATGGAAAAAATACAATAAAGATTTAATTTTAAAAAAAGAACTAGAAGGGGAATATTAAGGTTTTTAAAGATCCGTAACTGTTTAGTTATAAATAAAGGCATTTGAAACAAAATTATTTTCATTGCTAAGCTCCAAAATCAATGCTTTTCCTAAACTCTTTACAAATTATTTGTCATGAAAGAGTAAGTCATTATTATTGTATGTAGTAAAGTAACCTAAGTTTCTTCTATCTAAATTTCAACATACACAATGTGTTTTCGTTTCTGTGCTTATGTGTGCTCAATATACATATATTTATGTACATGTGCTTCAAGGACAAGGGACCATCCAACAAATATTTAAATGCCTACAAAGTCCCAGGCCCTGGGGACACAGAAGAGAGCAAAACAAAAATTCTTACATTAGACTTTGCATGAAAGACTGAAGTATTTTACATAAGTGAATTTTCCAAATGACTAAGGCTTATTTCTTTGAATACCATACTCTCCTTTGACCTCCATTGAGATCTAAGATTCACACTACTCGTGTGAGGGAAGTATTAGGCTAGTAGATATGTTGGGTTTAGCTTTCACTGTGATATAAAATATTTTTTTAGCTGCAACTCATATTATTTCACATAAAAATCTAGATTTATGGCTTCTTTTAAAAAAAAAGAGGGAGAGAAATAGGTAACACTGGGGTTCCCATTTCCACAGGGCAACTACCAGATGGAAATGAGCAGTAGCTATGCTCCTTAAATAGGGCCTTCATACCCTCCAATTCATCAGAATCTCTATTTTCATAAGGATTGAATATAAAGTTATATATGTAAAACCTGGCTTGCTTCCCTCATTTTTGTTACCTGCTGTACCTGAATTTTCATGTTTTACAGGACTTAAGTTCATCATTATTAATAAACATTAATTACAATACAGTAAGAATTCTTTTAGTGTTACTGATATACACAAACCTCTTCATAGGAAATTAACCCCATAAAAATGATTTCCCTACAGTCTACATATCTGCTCTCATCTTCAAAATTCAACTATCATGAGGATAATCTGTAACACAAAAACGTACCTGCATACCAACATCTTGAATTTCCTTCTTCCATTTTTTCAACCCATGATTCATTCCATGAGTGGGCAAAATCAATAAGTAAGACTAGCTGTATGAGGATGAAGCAAAAGGCACCTGCCATACCTACATAAAACCACACTAAAAGGAAAAAAAAAAACAAAAAACCAATGAGTGCATTTTTTGTTATTTTATTTTCACAATCACAATACACAAAAGGAAAACTCAAATTGTACATAAATGTTTTGATTTTGCCAACTGTGAGAAAACAAAAGAAACAAGTAGAATTACAGTTCCAGGTAATTTTTTTCAGTTTCTTTAAAAGAAAAAAAATACATCACAAAATTTAAAAAAACAAAAGATTTCTTACCAGTTGTAAAAGTTCCTTCTGGAATGAAGAATGCCCCAATAATAATTGCTACTGCGGCAGCAAATTTAAAGAACCAGAATCTAAAACAGTAAGAGATGTGATTTTTTTATTAATAAACATTCATTTAACAAATAGTATCATATAAAATCTTTTAAAAGCATCTCAAAGAACAGCTAGTTTATGTGATTGTTCAATTTTTTTCTGATGATACTCTGAAAATGAGATGTGAAGCCTACTACGTAAATTGTTTAAGGACAATTTTAAGTCATTTTTTTCATTAAATTCATTATAATTAATTGAAAATATCAGTTCCATTTCACGAACTTATATAATGAGTGCAATAATACATGAAAATGTAAGGTGCACTGTACAGCTATATAGATTTTTTTAAAATTCACAGTACAAAAGTAATAAGCATTATTATCAGTACAGAAAACATACAGTTTATAGCTCATCCTTTAAAACTAGAACAGCCAAGTGAGAAGTCAGTACACACTCTTATTTTTACTTAAGACAATATACTAAATCAAAGCAGACAGATGACCAGTAGAACTGCTTGTTACTTTTGTTATCTCTACTCATGCTGAGCTAGACCAGTGGGACACTATCTTGGTAAGAAGATTCTGACAGAAAGATTTGCATAGCCCATACCCCAACAGAAAACCTCAAGGACTGATTTATGAAACTAATTAAAAAAGGGTTTTAAGCAAACCTGCACAAACACCTAAGATGCTATAAGAAAAGGCTACCTGTTATTTTACTTCATGCATAAGCACATATTCATTGGTGCCCAGTAAACTAGGAGTGTCACAATAAAAAGAGCATTTTTGTCTTCATAGCGCTGTCAACTAAAATGCACACAGCACATAATACTTGGATCTTTAAAAGGGTAATCATAGGAGTTCCAAGGTCATATCCAGTAGGGTAGCCTGAATTTTCATCTATAAAAATATTTTTTCAAAAATGCTTAAAAGAGATTTCTATAAACAGCCTACAACAACAGGACCAGCAGAATACATGGTGATACAAAGACTACAGACATAAGACTAGGAACCAATTTTCACATTATAGTTTTTAGGTGAAGAACATCCATCCCTTCTCAGTTGATTTCCAACCAAGACTAGCTGTGAAAATAGGAGCTCCAGACATCTCAAGACAGGCATCTGCTTGAGTAACAGGCAGATAAACAGTCCCAAACAGTCAAAAATCCCAGTGAAAACAGTTAAAATTGAATGCATGTAAAAACTTCTGAGTGCACAAAAAGACTGGTGCAAAGCCTGCAAGGACAGAGGGCTGGTGATAGTGGGTGTTGACCCACCAACATGTATGCTGGGGAAAGCCCCTCAGGTAGAATATGCCAGATGTGGGCTTGCTCCCGAAGAGCTGGACTTAAAAGCCAGAGAGAGGTGTCTATTTGGGGAAGAGTATCAGTGCTCCTGAACACATAAGGTTTTTCAGGAGAAACAAGTCCCAGGAAGGTCAGGTAATTTTTTGACCCATCAATACTTAACATTAATTAACAAAGAGTTGCAGAACAGATCCAGTTTTTCCAAGATGTATTCTTCCGTCATTAGCTGAAGCCCCTCCTAGCAGATGGGACCTAGCATCACAGACTGTGCTGGGAAGCAAGCAAAAAAGAGGATTCACACAATAAGTCACCACTAAACCACTGCTTAAGTTTAGTTCCCAGCCTTATTTTTTTCTGCTACATAGTCCAGAAACATTTCTTTAAAAGCCCAAAAATCGGTATACGTCCGTAGCATATCAAATACGTCACCAGCCACTTCACCTTTATGGTGCTGTAAAGTTGTGAAAGCCGCCATGTTAAATCCAGGAATCCACTGTAGCAGCTCTTCTTCAACATACTTTTCTACCAAAGAAATGTATTGGTTAAAAACAGGCATGTAGGTAAGTTTATTCTCTTCTGTGTCTTCAGACTCCTGGTAGCACTTGTCCATAAAATTTTTCTGTAATAACTGGAACTCGCCATCCATGATAATGTCCTCTAAATATCCAACCGCAGCATCAAATTCTGCATCAGAGGTGGAAGATGCATCAAAGGTGGAAGGGAAAGGGTGAAGCGCTCTTCCCCTAGGACATCCAGGGCCGCTGTGGTGGCATCCACCTGCATGGTGTGTGCGGGTCCACGAGCCCCTTGGCGGTCAGGGTCCAGACTTCCTTCGGCTCCGTGGAGCCCCAGTGACACAAGGGAAACACCTCAACACAGAGGCCACGACCAACTCACCGCAGCCTCCAGGCCTGGCCAGGTCAGCCCCTGCCTGCTGCTCTGGCCTGATAAAAAGAAAACTGTAGACTAATTTCCCTGATGAATGTAGACACAAAAATTCTCAACAAAATGCTAGCAAAGCAAATTCACAAAATACGATATCCTTTCATGATGAAAACGCTCAACAAACTGGGAAGAAAAGGAATATATTTCAATATAATAAAGGCCATGTACAAAAACCCCACTACTACTATCAAACTCAAAGGTAACAGTACAAAAGCTTTTCTTCCACAATCAGGAACAAGACAAGGGTTCCCACTGTCACCACTTTTATTCAACATAGTAGTAGAAGTTCTAGCAATAAGCAATTAGGTGAAACAAAGAAATGAAAAGCAGCCAAACTGGAAAGGAAAAAAAGTAAAATTGTTTTTATCTGCATATATGATTTTTGTATATAGAAAATCCTAAGGACTCAACCAAAAACCTTTAGGAACTAGTTAACGAATTCAGTAAAGATACAGGATGTAAAATCACCTTACAGAAGTTAGTTTAGTTTCTATACACTAATAACAAAATATCTGAAAAAATAAATTTGAAAAACAATCTCAATTCACAATATCATCAAAACGAATAAAATACTTAGGAATAAATTCAGCCAAGAAAGTGAAAGAGCTGTACAATGAAAACTACAAGACTATGATGAAAGAAACTGAAGACACAAATGGAAATATATCTGTTGTTCATGGTTCTGAAGATTTAATATTGTTAAAATGTCCATAGTATCTAAAGTCATCTCTAGACCTGATGTAATCTTTATAAAAATTTCAATGGTATTTTTCACAGAAATAGAAAAAACAGTCCTAAAATTTGTGTAAAACCACAAAATATGCCAAATAACTAAAGCAATCATGAGAAGGAAGAACAAAGCTAGAGGTATCACAGTTACTGATTCCAAACTATAGTACAAAGCTACGGCAATTAAAACATGGTACTGGTGTAAAAACAGACACACAGACCAATGGATCAGAATAGAGAGTGTAGAACTATGCCTTCAATATATAAGATCTTTAACAGACAATCTTGGGAAAACTGGATAGTCATGTGCAGAAAAATGAAACTGGACTCTTATCTTACATTACTCACAATAATTAACTAGAAATGAGTAAAGACTTAAACCTAAGACCAAAGACCATAAAAGAATACTAAGAAGATACTAATACTAAAAAGAAGAAAACAAGGAAGAAGCTCCTGGACATTAATCTTGGCAATGAGTCTTTGTATGAGACACCAAAAGCACAGCGACAAAAGTAAAATCAAACAAGTGGGACTACATTAAACTAAAAAGCTCTGGCACAGCAAAAAAACAAAACAAACAAAAAAACAAAACACACACACACACACACACACACACACCCACCACACCCCCCACACCCCCCCCCCAAATGAAAAGGCAACCTACAGAACAGGAGAAAATAACTGCAAAACATATACTGGATAAGGTGTGAACGTCCAATGTATATAAAGAATTCATACAACTCAATAGACAAACAATCTGATTAAAGAATGGACAAACTTTTTCCCAGAGAATACAAATAGCCAACCGGTATATGAAAAGATGTGCAATATCACTAATCATCAGGGAAATGTGAATCAAAACCATTATAAGATTCCACCTCACACCTGTAAGAATGGCCAGCATCAAGGCAAGAAATAACGTGCTGGCTAGAGTGTGATAAAAAGGGAACCCAGTCACTGTTTATTGTGATGTGAAATAGTCCGGTCACTATGGCACAGAGTATGAAGGTTCCTCAAAAAATTAAAAATAGAATTATCCTATGACTTATTTCTAGGTGTGTATCCAAAGGAAATAAAAACAGGATGCCAGAAAGATACCTGCACTCCCGTGTTTACTGAAGCATTATTTACAATAGGGAAGAGATGAAAAGGACCTAAGTGACTGTCAATGGATGAATGATAAATTGTAATATACACACAAAAGAATATTATATAGCCATGGGAAAGAAAGAAATCTTGCCATCTGCAACAACATGGAGGGACCCTTGAGGGTATTATATGCCAAGAAAGATAAGTCAGACAAAAAGAAACATATACTGTATATCACTAATATAGAATCTAAAAAAACTGAACTTGTAACAAAAGAACAGAACGGTGGTTAGCAGGGCCTGGGGCGGGGAACTGTTGAGTTGTTTAAGGGTACAAACTTGTAACCAGTAAGTCAGTCCTGGAGATCTAATGCACAGCATAGTGAGTATAGGCAACAACACTGTGTTAGCTGTGTTAGACTTCAAAGTTGTTAAAAGACTGGATTTTAATTGTCTCCATTACACACACAAAAGAATTATGACATGTGGTAACAGAGGTGTTGGCCAGTGTTTTGATGTTTAATACAGTGCAGTATATAAACATATAAAATTAACACTCTGTGCCCCTTAAACCTGTGCAATGCCATGTATCAATTCTATCTCAGTTTTTAAAAAAGCACTAGTAACAAAGATGGCTGTAGGGGTGCTGTGTGCATGCTACCTTGCAAAGTACAGGAATGGTTGAGACTGTCATTCTGTAATGCATTTTGAGAGATGTTCAAAAACCCATTTAAGCCATGGCCACACGGCTCTATAGGTTGGAGCATCATCCCATACACCAAAAGGTTGTGGGTTCAATCCCCAGTAGGGGCACATACCTAGGCTGCAGGTTTGATCCCTGGACAGGGCGCGTATAGAAAGCAACCAGTCAATGTTTCTCTCACATCAATGTTTCTCTCTCTCTCTTCTCCCTAACCTTCCTCTCTCTAAAATTAATAAATATATCCTTAAGTGAGGATTGAAAAAAATAAAAACTTTTAATAAAGATGGCTATTAGAGTCCTAAAAAAATAAAGTAAAACCAATGACCATAGATAAAATAAAATAAAAACCTGTCAGCACATTTTTTATAACTATTTATATTTCACTGGTTCATTCTTCCTGATTTTGGTAGCATATGTTAATAAGTAAGGAATAGCAGATATTCAACTTTTTTTTTAAAATTTATGGGGGGAAAAAAAAGATAAAATTTAACATTTTCAAACAGAGTATCAGAAATGGTGCTCCATCTTAAGAGAGATTAACCAAAAAGGACCACGATGTTTCCTTCTAGGTTGTCCAGTACAACCAAACATGGAGAAAAATAATTAGTAACCCTGTTTATTTTCATTGTGGCTGAATTGTTTGTCTAGGAAACAAAGTTCTATTTTATGTATTTAGGCTGGACTATGAAAAGTTAAGAAGAGAAAAAGGAATAAGCTCTTTATTACTGGTCACAAATGTGGCAGATCCCCTTTTTAGGATGAAAATATAAAACATTATGTATCAGAGATTATACCAATAAATGACCCAATGGCTTATATTTAACATTTACATTTCCAAAGTCTGACATTCTCAAGTAGACACAAGAGGACTTTCTTACCTTATCATCCATGAATAACAAAATAATTTTGCAAACTGTGTAACCTTTTTTCCTTTAATGTTTATTTAGACAGATTCAGAATTACTGAGAAGAGGCTACCCAGACTTTTACATTGAAGTTTACAGTCATGCACCACATAACATTTTGGTCAACAACAGACCAACCACCTATCTAACAGTGGGCCCGTAAAATCATAATGAAGCCAAAAAAGTCCCATCACCTAGTAACAATGTAGCTGACATAGTGTCCTAGTGTGTTTTGGTGATGCTGGTTTAAAGAAACACAATACATAAACTTGATAATGCTGGTAAACTGTTACTGGTTTATGTATTTACTATACTTCTCAAAATTTGTTTTTCAGCTGTAGTTGACATAAAGTATTACATTAGTTTCAGGGTATATTATACTTTTTATTACTATTTTAAAGCGTACTCCTCTCTACTTATTTGAAAAAGGTTTCCTGTATGCTGGCAGCAGCCTCATATATCTCGTGTTTACCACATCTTTTGATTACATCATCATCTCTTGTTTTTTATTTGATCTCATGTTGTTTTATATATTCAGTGTAGCCTAAGTGTACAGTGTTTATAAAGTCTATCTACAGTGCTGTCCTAGACCTTCACATTCACTCATCACTCACTCCCTGACTCATCTGGAGCAACTTCCAATCCTGCAAGCTAACCTCCATTAAGTGCCCTCCACGCTACACCATTTTTTATCTTTTATAGCAATTTTTACTGTATTGTTTTAATGTTTAGATATGTTTACATACACAAAATACATAACACCATGTTTCAACTGCTTATTCACTACAATAACATGCTGTACAGGTTTACTGCCCAGGAAAAACAGGCTATGTCATACAGCCTAGGTGTGTAGCAGGCTACACCATCTAGGTTTGGGTAAGAACACTCCGCGATGTCTGCACGATGACAAAATCATCCTACAGTGCGTTTCTCAGACTGCGTGCCCACCATTAGGCAGCAAGGTTGCATTCAAGGACTTACCCGTTGTGCACTGCAGCTCTAGGGTCACTGCTGCTCTTCACTTTGATCATCAGCAGAGAGAGGAGAAGATAGAACATAGCCAAGCCAAAGCACAAACGGTATACAGCTTTGTAGCCAACCAGAATATTACAGGGGACGACACCTTTCTCATTCTCACAAAATCCAGGAATCTAATATAACGAAAGAAGAATTCGTGAACTAGAATTTTTTAAGTAAAAAAAAAAAAAATCTGTGTAATCAAGTAGTTTAAGATTTATAAAATTAAAATGTGCTTTTTAGTTTATGCTGAATATATAATCAAGGTAAGTCTGGAACATTTTCATAAACAGCAGTTTAATTCTCTTTTTACTTTCCATGAGCACATGACAAAACTACAAATCCAAATGCTAAAGAAAATACTTATTTTGACTTGCAGACTAAGTCTAAATTTTTTATAACTTGCATTCTACTGTGATATGCTGAATTACCTATATCAGAGGAGGAAAACACAATCAGTAAAAGTTTAGAGTTGTAGAGTAACTACGTCAGTTTTTGAACCTTAAAGAGGACAATGACAGCTTTTTCAGAACCAATGCTACTTAAAATTCATGGAGTTTTTTGGGATTTTATTCTACAAGTGTTATTTCTGATAATGAAATTTAGATTAACAATCACTGGGAGTGATTTTATTTTTTAACTTACAATCTTGAAAAAGACTGATGATCATTTCAGAAAGTCACACTGGAATCAGAATACAAAAAATATCTTTAAGTGAAATGAATGGGAGTAGGTGTCAGAGCTATGTACGCTATTTGTATGTATGAGAACTTAAAATTACATTTAAGCTAAGAAGGCGCCATTCCCTTTTGCTAGTTTCTACAGAGACAATAAGCCCTTTCTTGGCCTCAGATAAATCCTATCCTACATTTCTGACCCAGTTTAAACCTTATGGAAATATATACTTACCCATAATCACTTGGCAACATGTACTCACTAGCACCTTTAATTATCCCACTCCCTTGGAGCAGCACAATGCCTGGCGAATTTCCATCATTAAGTTAGTTCAGCCATCTATGTGTCAGGTTAAGCTGGTACAGTAATCACAAAATAACAGCTTAAAACACAAGGTATATTTCTTGCTCGTGTACATGTGCATCATTGGTCCTGAGTAGCCAACTCAGGAATCCAGACTATTGGAGAAACCACCATCCCTAATGATGAACAGGTTGTGATAGAGAAGAGAGACTTTGCATCAGCAAGTAGAGGCTGAAGTGTATCACGTCCACTCACAGCTCTGACCAGCACAAGGGACATGACCCTACATATCACAAGCACTCTAGGAAATAAAAATCTCTGATGATGTTCAGAAAGCAAGAGGGGTGGAAATATTTGGTGATAAGAACTAATATCCACCAACTAAACTCTTAAAACCATGGTCAACTGGATCCATGACAAAACCCTATCACCATCTCTTGGGATGCTTTTTGCTTATACCAAGGACTTGGAATAACATCAACGGAGCATGATAATCATCAAATCTTCCAAACTTTCACCACTGCTCCTCACCCCAAGGCCAACCCCAAGCAGACAACTCTCTGCTTTACAGTGGAGCTTCTCTGACAAATACTGTCAATCTCAACTTTCCTATTATCACTCACCTAGCCTTGGAAGACAGCCAACCTCGATGCCCCTTCTCTTAATCACCTCTCCCCGCCCCCTGCATATCACCCTCACACACACACAGATGAGATCACTTATCTGGGACTACTCTCAAAAGACAAATGATTAAACCTCTCTATTCTAAAAAATCTTTTCCTTAACTGTCTCCAGCTAAGACCACCATCTTACTGAAACAACTCAAATCAGCTGTTTACACCCACGGGCTACATCTCCTCATGGCCAGCTATCCCCCCCCCACTCCCCTCTAGCCCCAGCGCTCTAAAGCAGCTGCCTTTTCAAGACACTCACTAGTCATGGATTGATTGTCCAAAAGTCTTTTCCTAAAGTCTGCACAACAGTACATTCTCTTGATTCTTTTTTCACTGTTTGTTTATAAGTTTCGGTTTTTTTTTTTGTTTTTTTTTTTACCAGCCCCGTCTTTTTAAAGTTACACACACATACATGTTTTCTAATTTCTGCTGGATTCTCTCTTTCACACATAGGTAGTTCAGTACCCCCAAATCGAAATATTATAAACTATAGTAAAATTGTATTTTCCTCATATATTTTTTTTAAACCTAACTGCCTAAAAATTTTTAAAATAAAATACCCTTTCTTTACTTTCCCCCCACCCCTGGGTTAACAGCAACAGTTTTTTCCCAATTATTATTTATAATCCTATCACTGCCAATATTTAAATCCAGACTCAGTCACTTCTGCAGTCAAAGCCTATTTCAGGCCCTCTATATTATATCACTGCAACAGCTTCCACGCATAACTGCTTGACTTCCATCCTAACTAACAGATCACTTTCTAAAGCAAACATACTCTGCTCAGAAAAGCTCTTTATTCTCATTTGGCTTCCGATTTTTCAATCCCTGGATAAAAAAGTTCTACTCATTCTTAGAATGCCCCCTTTTCCACGAGACCCACTAAAACTGACATTTACTTGTTTAGAATTGCTTCCTCTTATTACCATAGCACATTTTCTGTACCACAATCACAGAATTTTACAAGCTTATAATGTCAGTCTTTCCTAAGAGATGAGCTATTAAAATTGGGATTACATATTATCATATTTGTAGATTACTGATTCCAGTACACAAAAATCAGTTTCATACATACACGCTATAGGTTTACCAATTTTAAAAAAAAACAAAAACAAAAAAGGACTAACCTTATTCAGTTGTTCTTCCATTCCCGGTATTAACATTACACAGGCTACACACACTCCAACAAGCAAGAAAAGTGCATAGATCAGCCTCGTTACAGTGGAGTTGTTTCCACTAGGGCAGCATCGGCACAGCAAACACGGGGCACTGCCACACAGACATGGTATCTGAGAAAAGAACATTAAAAATCAGTATAGTTTAAAATGATACAGTGAAAATTCACATTCTATCCATTTATAAAAGAAAAAGAACTGAAGTTAAAGTAATTATCAAGGGATGAAAGGTATTGGGTCACATACATTATCTGTAAATCATAAAACTTAGTAATTTTTGGGTAAAGATGGAGCAAAGTCAAACACAGAAGTGCTTGCCCTTACATTAACAAAAATAAATAAAAATCGGTTAAAACAAAAAAGGGAAAAAAATCACCAGCAGCAATCAGTGTTTAGGGGAAAAAAAAAAGAAATATTCATGATTACTAGCCCACCTCCTGCCCTTTAGCTTCGAGAAATCACACTGGTGAATTCATAAAATTCTGAAAATTCTCAAATACTCTTGAGGAAAAGAAGTAAATTGGTATCCTTATCTTTTCCCTCTTCTGACATGATGGTAGTGATAACAGTAAAAATTACTACTAGAATTAGGCAAAATAGGGTAAGTGAACTGAGACTAGATAACTTTCTCTAACGGAACTGCACATAAACTCAGGCCAAGACAGAGTAACAGTGACTGGACTTACCCTACTGCCTTAATCAACAGAAAAAAATAAATGAAACAATGATTTTCAGGCAATTAACAATAGGTAATGCAGGACAGTAATTTCTAAGTGGAAACAATATGAGCATCTATGACTGGCCCAAATTTCTGCCTGGGGAGTTTCTAGTGCAGGGAGTGTGATCTAGGCTGAGACCAGCAGTCCATCTGAGTTGAGTGTTCAGGGAAGTGAACGTAGCTTCACTGGGTAGAATCTTAGAAGAAAACTACACAAAATAAGTTCTGGAGATATACAGAGGCTTCAATTTGCCTTCAGAAGAGCACTGACTGATGCGTACAGTTCAATAAATTATCAGGAAATAGGGAAATAGGGAGGTAGGAGGAGTTGTTATTCCCATCAGCCAGGGTGAAAAAACCCTTATAATCTATGAGGCATTGAGTAGAGCTAGAAGGGTATTTATTACTCAGTACTAGGGGGAAAAAAAAAAAATCAGCCATCAAACTAAACGTTACCCCAGTCTCACTAAAGGAAACACCGAAGATCAAATTCTCTTCAAGTCACTCTAGCATGTCCAAGCACAAAGTCCAAGAATATTTTTTAAAAATACAAGCATATCCAGTACCAATCAAGGTAAAATTTGCAACTGTCAGAATCAGTTGACTGTATTTATATGGGTCTATTTCTGGGCTCTCCATTCTCTTGCACTGATCTATCTGTCTGTTCTTTTACCAATACCACACTGTCTTGATTACTACTATTACTCTACGTAGTAAACTAATTCATGAAGTCAGATAGCATCAGTTCTCCAACTTTATTCTTTAGTATTGAGTTGGCTATTCTGAGTATTTTGCATCTCCATATAAACTTTAAAATCAGTTTTTCAATATCCAGAGTCACTTCCTGGGATTATGATTGGAATTGCACTGAACCTATAGATCATAATTGAGAAACTGACATCTTAACAATAGTGAATCTTATTAACCTACGAACATGAAATATTTGTCTCTTCATACTTCGCTCATCAGTTTTGTAGTTTTCCTCATACTGACCTTGTACATACTTTGTTAGATTTATACGTATTTCATTATGGGGGTATTAATACAAATTGTATTGTGTTTTTAATTTCAATTTCCACTTCTTAACTGCTGGTATAAGTGATTTACTTTATATTAACCTTGAATTCTGCAACCTTGCTATATACAGTAGTTCCAGTTTTTATATTGATTCTTTTGTATTTTCTACATAGATGATAATTCATCTGTAAGTCTATACACTTTTTCTTTTCCTGTTTTATTGCAGTAGCTGAAACTTCCAGGACAATGTTGAAAAGTGGTAAGAGGAAACATTCTTGCCTTGTACCTGATTTTAGTGAGAAAGCTTTGAATCTCTCACCACTAAGTACGCTAGCTGTAAGGGTTTTGTTGATATTCTTTATCAAGTTGAAGAAGTTTCCTCTATTCCTTGTTTATTGAGAATTCTTCTCATGAACAAGTACTGAATTTTGTCAAATGTGTTCTCTGCATCTACTTATGTGATATGATTTTTAAAGCTTGCTGATGTGATGGATTACATTAATTGATTTTCAGTTGTTAAAACCAGCCTCCCATACCTATATTTGTAGCAGCTTTATTCACAATTGCCTATATTTGAAAGTAACTGAGATGTCCTTCAGTAGGAGAATGGACAAATGAAATGTACATTCAGACAATGGCGTATTAGTGCTAAAAAAAAGGGAGGGGGCATGCTATCTGAAAAGGCTACACACTATATGATTGTGACTGTATGACTTTCTGGAAAAGGCACAACTATGGAGTCAGTAAAAAGATCGGGGGTTGGGAGTGAGTGGAGGGATAAATAGGCGTGGCAAGGAAGATTTTTAGAGCAGGAATCTATTGTGTATGCTCCTATAATGGTGCATACACGTCATTATACAACTGCCCAAACCCACAGAATGTCCAATGCCGAAAGTTCACCCTATGTAAACTACAGATTACGGATGATTATGATGTATTAGTCTAAGTTCATTAATTATAACAAATGTACCACTCTGGTGGATAACACTGATAATCAGAGAGGCTATGCATATGTGGGGACATGGAATACATGGGAAACAAACTAGATCCCTAATGATAAAAATTAGAAAACACTGATGAAAGAAATCAAAGCCCTAAATAAAAGGCACATTAAACTGGGCTCACTGATTGGAAAAGTCAGTACTGTTAAGGTGTCAATTCTTTCCAAACTGACCTAGAGATTCAATCCAATTCCTATCACAATCCCAGAAGGAATTTAGTAGAAATAAATCAGTTGCTTCTAAAATTTAAATAGAAAGGCAAAGAAACTAGAATAACCCAAAAAACCTTGAAAAAGAACAAAGTTGTAATAATCCTACTCTCTGAATTCTAGGCTACTTTCAAAGTTACTTTTAATCAAAATAGGGTTTGATTGGGCAGAAAATGGACACAAATAAACAGAACAGAGCTCAAAAATAGACTTACTCAATGGTAAAGGGATTTTTGATAAAGTTTCAAAGCAAATCACTGTAGAAAGGATAATGTTTTTGACATAGAGTGCTGGAACAGCTAAATATCCGTATTTTTTTTTTTTTTAAATAGAAAGTTACCTTAAGCCACAAGCAAACCATATGTCAAAGTTAAGATATCTTATATACAATATGAAAAGTGTAACCCATAAATGAAAACTGATATATCAGGCCTCATCAATATTAAGTTTTCTTTAAAAGATAGCATTAAGAAAATGAAAAGATAAGCCACAGACTTAAAGATAATATTTGCAAATCAGCTATCTCAAAATTTATTTGTATCTGTAATATATAAGGAATTATCAAAACTTATTAAGAAAATAACTAAAGAAATGGCCCAAACATTTGAACATATTTTTAAAAATATATATGGACAGCAAATAAGCACATGAAAAAGTACTCAATATCGTTAGTTATTAGGAAGCTATCACTACACACATATTAGAATAACTAACATCAAATAAACTAAATATACTAAGTACTAACAAGAATGTAGAACTCTCTTTGTTGGTGGGAATGAAAAATAGTATAGCCATATTGGAAACCAGTTTGGGAGTATCTTGTAAGTCAAACATATGCTTAATTTATGACTCAGCAATCCCACTGCTAGATATCTACCTAAGCAAAATAACTTGTAGTCACACAAAGAACTTTTATGGGAATTCTTATAACTATTTTATCATCAAAATCTAGGAATGCCCCTCATGTGGATGTACTATGTTGCATGTGGAATACCATGCAACAATAAAAAGAAATATCCAACAATAAAAAGAAATAAAGTACAACAATATGAATGAATTGCAAATAAATTACACTAATAGAAGCTAGACTCAGAGGGTTGTATATTGTATGATTCTATTTATACGACATTCTGGAATGGCAGAACTCTAAAGAAAGAAAAAACAGGAGGTGCAAAAAGTGGGACAAGAGAGTTTTTTAAGATAATTATTCTGTCATTGTTACGCAAGTACATGATTTGCCAGAACTCACAGAACTGTATGATACAAAACATGAACTTTATTTAAATTCTATCAACTAAAAAATGACAAAAATGAATATAGAAGTAACAACGTGGAAGGAAAACAGAGGCAATAAATATAACATAAAGGTAACTGGTATCCTTGAAATAGAGATTCCGCTCAATAAAACAAAGGGAAAGGGTGAAGATACAACACAAGGGAAACTTCCTTAAAGAAATTAAACTGTACTTTCAAAAGAAAACTGTTTTCCAAAAGGAGAAAAAAGTTATAAATGACTTAAAGTCAGATATATTTGGTTAATTATTTCAAAGATTAAAAAAAGTCTTCAGTTACCCAGGCAGAAGAAACAAGTCAAATGCACATGTGAGATGTTTGGCAGAGGTTGGATACAGGGTAGTATTAAGACAGAACACAATACATACAAATAACTACAAAGCTGAAGGAAATGAGTATACAGTTGACCCTTAAACTGCCTGGGTTTGATCTACGTAGGTCCACTTATACATGTATTTTCTCCCCCAATAAATACATTACGCTGTTTTCAATGTGCAGGATATGAAGGGCTGACTGTATGCACTGATGTGTCTCATCTTACACAAGGGACGCGAGCCTCCATGGATTTTGGTATCCACAGGGATCCTGGACTCACACCCCTTCAAATACCTAGGGTAGTTAAGTTTTGAGGGAGTCAAAAGTCATACTTACATTTTCAACTGCATGGGGGTCAATGCCTCTAACTGTCTCCCCGTGTTCAGGGGTCAACCGTACAATTATATCAGTCCATAATGACTCTCAAGAATGTAACAGACATTTTTAAATATAAAAGAATTCAGAGATTTCAGCATACATGAATCCTTTTTGACAAATCTATTAGATGACAAAATTTGGTTAATTAGGAGATGACAGTAAGATTTTTAAAAATTTGGTGGAAGCCATGGAAAAAGGCATGCTTTTAGCTTGGAATCCACTGAAGTGCTGGGCTTATTAAAACAATGCTGAGCCCTAGTCAATGTTTCCAGTAAGTTTCCTAGTGTGCTGATGATACTGGGTCTAGGAACACACTTTAACAATGACTAGTTTAGTTCAAAGACTAAGCACCTGAGGCAATTATGGTTATAATACATAATGGCCACAGATAAAAATAATACAAAGGGATTCTGGTTAAAGATGGCAGCCTGAACATACGAATTTACTCATGTTCCCTTCTGAAACACCAGTAAAATAAAGAAGGGATTTTTAAAAGAAATAAATTAAAAAGGTGAAAAGCACAGGATATTACATATGAAAGACAGAGTATAATAATTGACTTAATAGGATAAGAAAGTTGAATCATAAGCCATCAAAGGGAAAATTAAGCAGCAATAAAATTTACAGCAGAATCTCCAAAAAGAGCAGAAATTGGTGCCACCAGATAGCAATACCTTCATAAGTGAGGCTGAAAATAAGACTGGCTGAATGTCTTTTTGCAGCTTAAAACCCCAGATTTCATTCCATTTTTTCCCCTGGCCAAATGAAGAGGATAAAACAGAACTGGCAATATTGATATTTTGGGACAATTATTTGTTGCTGGGGGCTGTCCACTACATTGTAACAGGTTTGGCATTATCCCTGGCCTCTACTACCCACTAGGTATTAGCTCTGCTTACCTCAGATTATGATAATGAAAAATGTATTTCCAAATATCCCTGAAGGAAGCAAAACCATGCCCAGATGACTACTATAAACTCTGCTATAAAAACACTGCCTTAAAAAAATCTTTATAAGAAACTCTCCTAATGAAGAAATGTTTACTTACCATTCAGAAATTCCCTTACTTTTTCTTTTGTTAAATTCAGGAAAAATTAGATTTAATGCTTTGTTTAAAAACATATGTTGCCATGACCAATGTGACTCGGTTGGGCATCACGTCAAGTCGCCAGTTCGATTACAGATCAGGGCACATGCCCTGGTTGAGGGGTTGCAGGCCTGGTCCCGGTTGGGGTGCATGTAAGAGGCAACCCATCCAGCTCTCTCACATATCGATGTTTTTCTTCTTCTCTTTCCCCCTTCCCCTTCCCCTCTCTAAAAATAAATAAATAAAATCTTTAAAAATACATGCTATAATTCCCCAAAAAGTATTTTTTTTTTTTTGGTTTATTGATTCATCCATTTGTATATATGCATTGTAACAGAGTGTTATGGGTGGTGGGAATTTTTTTTGACATTTTAACTGTATACTCTGCATTGCTTGACTATCTGTAGCAACTATGAATTGTTTAAAACAAGTTACTATATTAAAAAATATAAATCTAGCAGAGGCTTGCCAAAACAGGCAGTCAGTAACCATTAGCTCTTTCTTATTAACTAATTACATTAAATGTCTTGGGCAAAAAACGATAGTTATTGTATACAAGGTGCAGTCATCCAAAAAATCAATTCTAGTCACTAACACATTGTTGAGATTGGGTTGGGGAAAAACACCTGAGCAGGTATAAACTGTTGGTAATATAGTTATAGGATTAGGCAGGAGATACAAGATGTTTCACCAAAGAGTCATGCATGAATGAAGGGCTGTGAATTACCTAATTCTTGGGGCCCGTCATGGCAAGCAAGCAAGCAATAAATAAATAAATAATACTCCAATCTCTACACATATGAGCATTAATTAATTTAATACTCCAATCTCTACACAGTAGTACATATAATTTTTCTCTATTATACTTTTTCCATAGTTGAGAAATTTTGTACAGTTGCCTTATTAATAAGAAATACTTTTACAAAGATAAGCACAAAGGAACTTGAGCAAAGGGAGAATGGGTTTATTTAATTCTGCCTTAACTGGTCTAATTTAATGATGTAAAATCATTTTCAAATTGAAAATTTGAAACAATTTTAAATTTAGTAAAACCTCTGCGTTAATGAGCACACTGACGGTTAAAGACCATGGAAGAAATGAATTAGTATATCACAAGGCAAATTCCCCTTTAATTGCTGTGGAACTGAACTACAATTGAACAATTCAAGAATAAAGAGACAAAGGCATCAGGAAGGGAAGGGAAAAAGATTATCTGGACTGCATATTATAGAATCAATGCCTAGACTGGCCACAAAAATCTAGAGCCACGAACAACCCTGGTCACCTAGGCTCTATCTGCCAGAGACCTAATTACTAGGAAAAAAAAAAAAAAAAAACTGCCTCTTTGTTACTACCTTTCCAATGTACCTTGGAAAGGCAGTGTCAATTCTATAACAGTTTTGTAGTCAATAAAGGTGGAGAACTAAGTTTTAAAAACATATATAGGGATATAATTGTCCCCATATTGTTCACTAAAGCTATTATCTTTGATTTAGAACACATACCTATTTAAAAAAAAAATTAAAAAATTTCTTTAACTGTAATTGTCCTTGAGGTAAAAAAGTTTGCTCATCACTGATCTGGAGATGAGAACAAAATGGAAAACATGTACCCCTCCTTTTAAAGCTTTCCTATACACAAAGAACATGCCCACTTTATAAACGGACAAAATCTGACTTTATGAATCAAATGACATGACATTCTCCCCCCCAATAAAAACAATCTTATAATAATCATTTATTATTTTGTAGTACATTTTATGTATTACATTAAATATGCCTCTTTTGCATAAAACATCAATAGGTACAAGCAAATTCTCCAGTTTCTTTAGATAAAAATATACCAAGTTTCCCTGACTGGGAACAGCCTGAGTTGGAGCAAGAACCTCCACTGATTATTTTATTAAAATGTAACATTTATAATTCAAGCTATATCAAGAACTTTTGGGGGGAAAAAAGGGCAAAGTATATAAAATAATCAAAATGCTGGCTAATGTATATAATGAAATCATGTGGGAAGTCAGGCAAGCAATTGTTAGACGTGGAATTGAGAATTCATTAATTAGAGAAATATGATTTGAATCCCAAAATCTTGACCAAAATTACAAATATCTTTATTAACTATAATGTCAATGTTTGGTCTACTTTTATTTGGGAGAGTGTGGTTATTTTAAATAAAGTTTATCTGCACCACCTAAATCAAGAAATCTTGCTACTAAAATGAAAAAAGGATTTCCCTTTGACACCATCTAATCAAAATGCAAAGTACACCTAATTAAACATGAAATTTCAGATTACACAAGAACGCATCATGTCAAAGGACACAAAATACTGCCCCAGTCGGTGTGGCTCCGTTGGTTGTGCATCCTCCCCGAACCCAAAGGTCGCCGGTTCGATTCCGATAAGGGCACAAGTCTGGTTTGTAGGGTCGGTCACCTGGGGTCCATACAGAGGGCAACCAATAGTTTGTTTCTCTCTTACTCGGATGTTTCTCGCCTTCTCTTTCCCCCTCCCTTCTCCTCTCTCTCAAATAAAAATATATATACATTTAAAGAAAGATACAAAATATTTAATACTGCAGAGCTGATCAGCTTTTCCAGATACCCGGTCGCAGGATAGGCCTAGTTATTCCAAAACGATATTACTGCATATTACTATATCAATATTACTGCAAGGCTGTCCCGAATAACGGGCACTTAAATGGAGTCTGAGCGACAGAACAAAGAGGCCGATATGCCTTCAGGGATGACAGTTGCTGCAGTCTAAGGTCGCAGGGAAAAGATGATGAGAAGTGATGGAGTATTTCACAGAGGAAAGGCCTAAGACTTCTGTAGAGATGGCCTACGCAGACACGAAAAAAACAACAAAAGGGGGCCTGGAAGAACGGGGAGCAGCTTTCAAGAAAGACGGGCGGGGCGGAAGACTCCCAGCTCCCTTCTCCACTTCTTCCATCGGCGTCACCTTCCCATCTCTACTGCTCCCCACAGCCACCGAGTCAGCTTTTAGCAAGAATCAGAGCCTCCAGGCTAAGTCGTAGCGACGAGAAGAGAGAGAAAATGGGGATAGAAGGCACTCCCTGTTGGGTGGGGTGCCACGTTCCCGTCGGTCCTCACCCAGCCCAACCAAATCCCTTTCTCTTCCGCCTCTCCAGTTAGCACCCCGAAGGCTGCCCAAAATCACCTTACCCAGCTCGCCATGGAGCACAGTCCCAAGACGCTCCCCATCTCCAAAACGTCGCAGATGCAGCAAACGCCAACAAAATGGAGACAGCGCCTCTCTTGCCTTTTTCAGGTTATTTACGATCTACGAGCCACTTCCGGCGCAGAGTTTACCCCGCCCCTCAGCTTTGCGTCACGTCCCCTGCGGCCTGGGTAATGAGGAATAGTGAAAGCGTCGCGCTGACACTGCGCATGCGCGTTCATGAAACCCGGATCCGTTCCCATAGAGTGGAATTTTTTAATACCCGAGGTCGAAAATGACTGGCTAATACAGGGCTGACTGTAGTTTGCCAAATTAAGAAGACGATGTGAGAAGAAACTCACCTTTAGTTACTTTTTATTTGAATTTGAGTATTAGGAGAGGATAGAGCTGAGGTTCTGGTTGCTCTTTTTCCCTCATGAGTTAGAGAAACCTTTCTTACTGCTTTGAGGGCATTGCTTTCTCCTTCTCGATGTTCATCCCTCCTACCTCCACTTATTTCTCGTTTTTCTGCTTTTGCATCTCTCCCCACCCCCAATTACCTTCTCAAGGTATTCCTGCAGACCACTCCCTGGGACAAGTTTTATTGTAATATTTCTATTGATTAGTATAACTTCTGTGTGCTGTTGACGCGCATTTTAATTTCTTGTCTTATTAAGATGTTAAAAGTTTGCACATCCAATAATTTTAAATTACTAAAGTAAGACATACTAATTATAAAAACTCACTCAAACATACTGATTTTATTGAGGACACATTTGGAACCTGTATCAGATGATAATGGACATCTCCAGGGACTTGTCTTCATTTGAAGTTCTACTTATTTTTATAGGGATTGTTCCCAGAAGATGTTCTAGGATAAGAATTTGGCACACAGTAAATACTTAAACTTGGAATAGTCGTTGTCATAACTAATAATAAGAAAGTGTCTTATAAAATCTACAAAAATTGAATGGGTGAAGGTAAGACTATGTGGCCATTATCTGAGAGATAGCAAAAAGAAAGGAATGGGATTAGGTAAAAGATAATGGGTTTATTTTGGACATATAGAACTTGACGTCTCTGAAATGTTATCCTTAAGCACTTGAAAATACAAGCTTAAAAAATAAGCTTAGGAAAAGGAAAAAGAAAAAAGAATTAATGAGATACAAAATTTACATTGCAGTTAAAGTTAAAGACATAGAATTGATAAAGGTGGCCAAAGAGAAATATTATAGAGTTAAAGAGGCCTTGAAATTAACACTGGAAGAATTATAAGGTGGGGAGAAGCTACTGACTTAGTTTTGCCTTTTCACTTTGGTTGATACCCTCGTTAATAGTATTTTAGCCCTAAGGAGTTGTGAGGACTAAATAATTTCATGTGGTCTTATAAATCAGCACCATGTGGAACATATTATAGGCAATCAATACAAGCGAGTTTCCTTCCCTTTTTTCCTACCAAGATTAACTAGCTTTTATGGCTTGCCAAGCTAGAATAGACATAGCGTATACCCAAAGGCCTACCTCAACTTCTCAGATAGTTTCCCCAGATTACCTAACATTTCCCAGTCCACATCCTTGGGAATGATAGCATATTGTGTCACAACATGGAAGCTTGCATTCTGGACTCCTTGATACTTTTATGGATGAAGTCAAGACAGCATTTCATCTTCATTGCTCATCTAGAGATCTATTTAGCAACAGTTTCTGATCTTGAAGCAGTGTCTTTGCCTTAGGCAAACCTATACTACTTATATGAAATCAATCTCTTGCATAGATCCAACACTAGTGATATATTCACTATAAATATCATAGCTTCTATATTGTTTGCTTCATCACAAGCCTTGGGAAGACATTTTGGGGAATCAAGATTATGGGAGATTGGAAGAGGATCTACCAAATATAATTCAGAAGGAGTGTGTATATAGTAGAGAGTTTCAAGAAAGAGTTCCAGATCCACATTTTTTTCCTCCATGCCTAATGGGCGTTTAAATGCAACATGTCAGAAAGTGAAGTGTATATCACCAAATAAACTATAAACATCTTTAAATTTTGAAATATTTTGACCTACACAAAGGTAAAGAGAATAATGTTATAACCCTGAATTTTCCACTATCCTGAAGAAATAAAACATTAAAATAGAATCGATCCTGATTGCATTGTTTCTCCCTCTCCCCAAAGAGATGATTATAGTGAATGAATATTAGGGGCCAGTTAACAGAAGACTGGTGCTCAATGTCTTCAATCTACTCACAGTTGCAAATTGCTCTTCAAAGTGGTTTTACCAATGTATCCTTTTCTCCAGCAGTGTGAGAGTTGTTCCATATCTTTGCTATCATTTGGGTTTGTCACACTTTAATTTAGTTACATGGAAGAAGTGAAATGTCTCATTATGCTATTAAGTTGCATTTCCCTCATAACTATTGTAGTAAGGTCAGTAAGGTCAAGAACTTTTATTTCTCAACCGCCAAGATATCTTCATATATAAAGTGCCTTTTCAAGCCTTTTGCTCATTTACCAGTTTGGTTATCCATCTATTCTTTATTGATTTTTTTGGTGGTTTTAATGTATGTTTCAATACAAATTCTTATGTGTATAGCAGTTACCATCACTCAGGCTGGACTTATTCTTTCTCTTTTTTTGTGGTGTACTTTAAAATCACAATATAGTTTTAAAATTTATTATAATGTCAAATTTAGAAAACTTGGTCCTAAGTTACATGACTTTGTTGTTGATAATGCCTTCCTAATAAAGACTTTAAAGATATTTTTCTCTGTGTATTTTTCTTCCAAGTTTTAAAGTTTTGCTCTTCGCACTTAGGTTTTAAATCTAATTTTTGTGTATGGTAGAAATCTAGTGATCTGCTCTCCAGTGGGGAAAAATAGCCCTCATATGCAACATTTACTAATTTCTATGGTATTTGTTTGGTATTATACCTATGGCTGATTTCTATCCCCTGATGGTTTAACCATATACAGGTCTTGACTAAGTCAACCAATAGCTGTTGGTGACAGTTCAACACCAGCAGAAATCCCCAATTTGAGGTGCAACGAAGAAGGAAACTTTATTCAGTGCAAAACAGCTCAATTCAGCTGTGATAGAGCATGGCTATGAAAAATGCACAGCTGTAGAATAGCTCGGTTGTGGTTACAGCACTGCCATGGAAATAGCACAGCTGTGAGGCAGCCCTGGGGCCAGGCTCCTCTCTGGCTAGCCAGTTCTCCTCTGTTCCTTGCTGGTCTGCTCTGCTCTGTGCCAGTCTGCTTTGTGTTGCACTGGCCTGGTCTCCTTTGCTCTGGGCAGCCCTGTTCTGTGCCAGTTTGCTGTGCCCTGCACTGGTCTGCACTGCTCTGCTCTGTTCCAGCAAGACATCTCGGTGTTTCAGCTCAGCCAGGGAAACACAGTCTTCAGTCTTCTGTGGAATAGGAAAGGGCACTCTGACTGAAGGGGTGCTGGTTTAAAAAGACAGAAGTCCCTGCCCCTTGTCCCTGATAGGTCCATCCTTATGCAAATAAGGCCTACAGATCCTCACAGTTTGATCTGCCCAAAAGTCAATGTCCTGATTAGTGAGAACTGAGCTGCTCTGATTGGTTGGTGAAGATGCTGATAGGAATATAGCCATGCAGCTCTGATTGGATGTGGAAAACCTCAGTCCCCTTGGTTGAAATAGGATTCCAGAAATTCCTTTTTAAGATCTGGCTCAAATGGCAAAAACAAAGTGCAGGCAGGCAGTTCAGTGCAGAGGCAAGTAGTTCAATGCAGGCTTCTCCTCTCTGAAGAACAGTGTGTGGAAGCCTCAAATAAATATAAATGGAACATAAAATTAAGAGCACCTTAGGGAAATTCATGAATAAGACCAAAGCACAAGTCAGAATAGACATGCACAAAAGCGGGCTGAGAGAATTCTGGAATGTTACAGGCAGGCTTAAGGTTTTCCTCAGAAAACAGTCCAGGTTCATTTTCACAGATGGATAAACAAAGAATTGAAGCTCCCAAGTAGAGCAAGCAGAGCATGACTGTGGTCATTTCAGCCTGAGAAAAATGTAAAGCAAGATTATCAAGCTTATTCTGATAATAGTAAAAAATTCAATAATGCATTCATAAAGTCAGTCTAAACCAATGTAATCTCCAGTATGATTTAGGCACAACATTTGTCCTTATGAAACTAAATAAGTTACTTTGAAATATAGAGTTAACCGTCACTTATTAAGAATTATGAGAATATCTACCTCAGACAATAATTTTGGTTTCAGAACTTACCCATATGGCAATAAAACCATATCTTCAGTATACAAGAAAATATTTAGCTTTATATTTTCTATGACAATCTATGCCTGGCTTTAAGTCAGAAGAGCGGTTAAAACATATCTCTGCTTTATAGCACTCTGGAAATAACTATATGAACAGTAAGAAGTTCATGCCTATTATCCCCAATTCTCAGACTATATTAAAGTACAAGTTTAAGAAAAAGGAGTATAGACTGCACTTCATGTTGAATTCACATAGCGTGGTCCATGATTGATGTTTTTCTCCAGGACGAGTGTGTAAATTAAATGTTTTTTTAAAAGTTGGTTACAAACACACCTAATAATGTTCCACTCTTAATTATAGGGTTATTATTGTAGAGTAATATGGAACTAACATTCTGGACTTCATGGCATTGTACCTTTTGAAGCTATCCCACACTTACTCCTGTGCTATTCTAGTTTCTGCTCATTGAAAATTAGCACTATTGAAACTCTTCTCATAGGTTAAAATTTTTCCTTTTGTACAATCTCTGCAAATAGACTGGGAAGAAATCAGTTCTCCACCTCATGAAAGACTGACAATTTGGGGAAGCATATGGTATGTGTAGAGTTCCTGCTACAGATTGTCAGTGATTACCCATAGGACAGTTTTCATTGATACCTCAGCTGGTTGCTACTGTCATGCTCCTTTCTGTATTGTCTAGACAGCTCTTTCCCTGCTACGTGTTTCTGGAGATGCCTGTGCCCAGAACTGAGTAGTCTATAGCCTTTCCCCCTTTCCTGTAATTCTTCATTCATGTCTTTAGGGAAATGGTTTAGAATCTTACACATTACATTAAAAGTTCCCAGTTTAATCTAGAATTAGTGTCCCTGCATCAAGGTTAACTGAAATCAGACTTACTTTG